AGATAGGCTGGTAGGTAAGTAGATAGTCAGAGAAAGAGAGAGAAAGAGAGGAGACCTCAAGCACCTTTCGGTCCATCAGTGGATTCGCTTTGCCATCCCTGATTCACAACAACCAACCTCTCCTATAGGTTTCCTATTTTTGAAACTTCCGCCACCGCCTTGTGCGGTACTACTGGTAAAACACAAAAAAGGTGTTTTACTTTAATACCACTTACAGAAAACCCACATCCCAAAATCTTCAAGTCTCAGGTGTCAGATCTTTTGAAATGGTGGTCTTGCTTCTGGAAACCGCATTGGACAACAATCTGTGACATCATCCGGCTGAGAATCTCATCAGCTGGCCTCCTGCAGAGCAACCACATAAAAACCAGTCGGGCAACCACCTGAGATATGCTGCAAGGCGTGGCAAGATGTGGCAAGCACTATCAACAATCACCAGGACCAGGCATTCTTTGAAAGCGTTCGAAATGGCCAATGAACATGATGACGAGCAAGACAAGTAGCAACGACTGTAGCCTTTCATATGCTATCAGCAAAGTTAGTCATTTCTGCGCATGGCCCTTTCCACATCCCCTGAACAACTCCAGAGGCACTGCAATGCCTTCCAAAATGACGCTAGCCCAGTTGGAGTGGTGAGCACCATTCATGATGAGGATCACTACTTGGCTGAAACCCACCACAAGCCTGAGAGAAATTCTGCGCATCCGTGATCACTGAAAGACTTATTGGATGCGCTGAGAAGCAGTTTGATCATTAATTCTCATCAAGGGAAACAGTTCCAAAAGGATCCAAAAAGGTATAATTATATATATATATATATCACATCCAAATTTGAACAGGGAAATCCATCAAAGCTGTCCTGAAACAGTCTGCAAACATAGTGAAGCAACAAATTTCATACTTTTTTGCAACGCGTGCAATGTATGTCGGAATGTATAGGTACGTACCCATCATACCGTCATTCGCTTTGTTCATCTCTTCATGATCAGATTGGGTCTGTCTGAACATGGGGTACACCCAATGGCCCATTGGCGAAACACCATAGCTGTCCACATAGACATAGCTTCCGCCCATGTCTTGATTGATTTCCAAGTGGCTGAGGGCCCAAAAACACGAAGGGAATTGCCACCTCTGCATGTCCTGCGCCCTTGATATTCACCCCACTTTCGGCAGCAAGACCTGGGTCGAAGTAGTAACATGCAGAAAGACATGGAGGCCCGATGCCTTTGCTTGGCAATGCTTAGCACGCCATCAAACCTGCAAGCATACATATTTTTGGATATTTTTGGAAAAGATTGGATAGGTCTTTGAACAATAATAAGCATGTCTTTTAGAAAAAACTCTTACAGGATGCATTTGTTGTTGAAATGCGTCTCCTCTGGACACGTGCTGGGACCGCAGTTTGCAAATCTCAGATGAAATGACCTGCGAGGAATGAAATGCTGACCTGATTCTGTGCAACTGCCCATTCTGAGTCTTTACCTGATCATTCTGTACTCCTGCAGTTCGCGTCCAACGAAAATCAAAGAGCGGATGCACTGCTGTGTTCATTTGAACTGATTTAGCCACACAAAATGCCCTCTCACGGCATATCGAGTCCGAATCTGCGATGGAATGGTTAATCAACTATATACATATTACATATATAGATCAAATATATATATATATTATATATAAATATATATATATACAGTTATATACATATATATATATATATGATCGGAACAGTCAGGAGCCCTTGAAACCATGTTCATCGTCACATACACAGATACATACACAAACATACACAAATTGCAACCAAACAAGAACCCGTAACAATAGATTCAGTAGTTAAAGGGCCGTCAAAAGCAGGCCAAGAAAAACAACCCCTAAATTCAAACCATGATCAATGCCAATGTCACTTCGACTTGTGATGGCATTGAAATCAAGGGCTGCGGTTGAATCCAAGAAACGTAGAGAAGGAGATGACAGACCCGCAGAAATCAATACATTGATGGCAGTGTCCACTTTGTGAACCTTGTCACCGATTTCCTGACACCGTGCTGGCAACATGACTTCCACGGTCTCTCTAGATTTAAGCATTTCAAGCAACCTTAGGCTCCGGGCAGCCAAAAACAAAAAGGTTCAACACTCATAAAGTTTCAAAGTATTTTGAAGTTCACATTCATATAATACAATGGTTATGGACATGGCACTGACGGAGCGCAAATCTTTGCACAATGAGCGCTGCTGCAGCACCCCCTCCAACAGTCCTCCCAAATATTTTGCATATCGGACGGTTGTGAGCAACCAGCCATACCTAGTTGGAAAAAAACAAGACGAAACCCTTGGGAAACAATGCGAGGTACCCCAAAAACAAGATGCAGCCCACGAACCCGAATGCTCACACGTATGTTAATGGTACAGATGTCAAAACACATGGATATGCAGTCACGCACAACACTTTTCTGCAATAGTTTGTTTGAACAGTCTTGTACATATTTCCCCTGTTACCAGTCTGCAGTGTGGAGTGTAAAGTGTAGAGTGTGGAGTGAGGGGTGTGGAGTTTGTAAATTGTAGAGTGTGGAGTGTAGAGTGTAAGAGTGTGGAGTGTGGAGTGTAAAAGGTAGAGTGTCGAGTGTGGAGTGAGGGGTGTCGAGTGGGGAGTGTGGAGTGTAAAGTGTAGAGTGTGGAGTGTAAAGTGTGGAGAGTGTGGAGTGTGGAGTGTAAAGTGTGGAGTGTAAAGTGTGGAGTGAGGAGTGTAAAGTGTAAAGTGTGGAGTGTAAAGTGCGGAGTGTGGAGTGTAGAGTGTGGAGTGGGGAGTGTAAAGTGAGGAGTTTCGAGTGTAAAGTGTGGAGTGTAAAGTGTGGAGTGTGGAGTGTAAAGTGTAGAGTGTGGAGACTGGAATGGAAAGTGTAGAGTGTGGAGTGTGCAATGTAAAGTGAGGAGTGTGGAGTGTAAAGTGTGGAGTGCAAAGTGTAGAGTGTGCAGTGTGGAGTGTGGACTGGGGAGTGGAAAGTGTAGAGTGTGGAGTGTAGAGTCCGGAGTGTAAAATGTAAAGTGTGGAGTGTAGAGTGTAGAGTGTAAAGTGTAGAGTGTGGAGTGTAAAGTGTAGAGTGTGGAGTAAAGTGAGGAGTGTAAAGTGTGGAGTGTGGAGTGTAAAGTGTGGAAAGTGGAGTGTGAAGTGTGGAGTGTGGAGTGTGGAGTGTAAAGTGTAGAGTGTGGAGTGTGGAGTGTAAAGTGAGGAGTGTGGAGTGTAGAGTGTGGAGTGTGGAGTAAGGAGTGTAAAGTGTAAAGTGTGGAGTGTGGATTGCAAAGTGTGGAGTGTGGAGTGTAAAGTGTGGAGTGTGGAGTGTGGAGTGGAAAGTGTAGAGTGTGGAGTGTAAAGTGAGGAGTGTGAAGTGAGGAGTGTGGCGTGTAAAGTGTGGACTCAGGAGTGTAAAGTGTAAAGTGTAGAGTGTGGAGTGTAAAGTGTGGAGTGTGGAGTGTAAAGTGTGGAGTGTGGAGTGTGGAGTGGAAAGTGTAGAGTGTGGAGTGTAAAGTGAGGAGTGTGAAGTGAGGAGTGTGGAGTGTAGAGTGTGGAGTGTGGAGTGAGGAGTGTAAAGTGTAAAGTGTGGAGTGTGGAGTGTGGAGTGTGGAGTGGAAAGTGTAGAGTGTGGAGTGTAAAGTGAGGAGTGTGAAGTGAGGAGTGTGGAGTGTAGAGTGTGGAGTGTGGAGTGAGGAGTGTAAAGTGTAAAGTGTGGAGTGTGGAGTGTAAAGTGTAGAGTGTGGAGTGTGGAGTGTGGAGTGTGGAGTGGAAAGTGTAGCGTGTGGAGTGTAAAGTGTGGAGTGAGGAGTGTAAAGTGAGGAGTGTGGAGTGTAGAGTGTGGAGTGTGGAGTGAGGAGTGTAAAGTGTAAAGTGTGGAGTGAGGAGTGTAAAGAGTAAAGTGTGGACTGTGGAGTGTAAAGTGTGGTAGGGTAAAGTGTGGTTGGGGGGAGTGTAAAGTGAGGAGTGGGAGTGTAGAGTGTGGAGTGTGAGTGAGGAGTGTAAAGTGTATAAAGTGTGGAGTGTGGAGTGAGGAGTGTAAAGATAAAGTGTGGAGTGTGGAGTGAAAGTGTGAGTGTGGAGTGTGGAGTGTGGAGTGGAAAGTGTAGAGTGTCAAAGGTGGAGTGTGGAGTGTAAAGTGAGGAGTGTGGAATGTAAAGTGTGAAGTGTGGAGTGAGGAGCGTACAGTGTAAAGAGTGGAGTGTAAAGTGTGGAGTGTGGAGTGTGGAGTGGAAAGTGTAGAGCGTGGAGTGTGGGGTGTAGAGTGTAGAGTGTAAAGTTGCCACGCCTGTCACGCAAAACGACATGACAACCTGCTTAGAAACCCTCGAACAGGAGATGTTTTGCAGCTTCCCACAGAGACACTGCGACGTGTCTAGAAAACCAGAGACACTTTCGGCTCGTTGTCAAACAGGCTGGAATGTCACAAAGTGCCCCGCCTGCCACGAAAAACGACATGACAACCTGCTTGGCAACCTTCGAAAAAGAGAGGTTTTGCAGCTTCCCCCAAAGACACGGCGATGCCCCAGGAAATCCAACGACTCGGGACGAGACACGTGGATGCAGAAAAACGAGCATTTCGTACGAGACGTCCTCCAATTTTCACATTTTCGACACTTTATCAAACAGGTTGGAATGTCACAAAGTGCCACGCCTGCCACGCAAAACGACATGACAAGCTGCTTGGAAACCTTCGAAAAGGAGATGTTTTGCGGCTTCCCCCATAGACACTGCGAAGCCACAGGAAAACCAGAGACTCGAGACAAGACGCATAGGAACATCAAAACCAGCATTTCGTGCGAGACTTCCGGCAATTTTCACAGTTGGCAACATGACAAAAAGACAAGTTTTGCAGCTTCCCACATAGACACGGCGAGGCCATTGGAACACCAGACACGCGAGACGAGACAGGTGGGAGCACCAAAACGAGCATTTCGTGCGAGACTTCCTCCAATTTTCACACTTTGTAGCTTCAAAATCGACGTTTTCCTACAAGTTTTTCTTAGAACCTGAAAATTTGCAACCTCAAAAGCCTCAAAATCGATGTTTCGTGCGGGGCTTCCGTCAATTTTCAGCACATCGCACAAAATGCCACGCCTGCCACGGAATTTGCACCTTGTCGCCACTTGACGCAGCCCTGCCAATGCGATTTACAAAAAACACGCAACACGACACGTCTAAAGTGCTGCGCCTGCCACGAAAAATGACGATGGGCACGTCCAAAGTGCTGCGCCTGCCACGAAAACTGCAACACATCTTCTGAAAACGTAACAAAAGTATTGCGCCTGCCAGGCAAAACGACTTTCGACACATTCCAGAACACGTCTGAATGTCACGAAGTGCCACGCCTGCCACGCGAAACGAAGCAACCAGACGTCGGAAACCTCCAAAAAGGACCACCTCTGCAAAACTTCCCATAGGCACGGCCATAGGTCCTCACACGAACGGTTGCGGACGGTTGCGAACGGTTGCGAACGGTTGCGGACGCGGAAGCAACGTCGAGCGAACACACCCTCAACCCCCAGACCCCCAGAGTGAAACGGGAACCCTTGCTACGCATTCGGGAAAAAGAAACTGTTGTTGGAGTTTGGTTGGCCAAAGCACGAATGGTTCCTTCATAATGCTTTCGCAATTGCTGCCCTTCCTTTGCTATCTCATCACTGCGAATCCGGTCCATTTCCGCAATAAGAAAGAATGCAATGCAACAAGTCCTCAGGTTGTTGGCAAAAGGAATTGACATCTCAAAACCGCTACAACTACCAAAGAAATCAATAGCTCGCATGAAATAAGAAGAAACAAGAATAATATACGACATTGTTTTCAACCCTTGGAAGCAAAGCCCACTGATCTGCTTGCACGAATTCTCAGCTCAAAGTTCTTGTGAACAAAGTGTTCAACTGCAGAAGCCAAGCAACCACAGAATTGCTTGGTAGATCTTGGTCGTGTGAGGAGTAAAGTCAAGAAAATGTAACCTTCAGATTGCCGCCACATGCGGATTATTTCAACATATCTCTGTATGCTCTCCCAAACAATTTCCACCAAGATCCATGCCATGCGTTTTGCATCGTTTCGCTATGTTTTCCTTTGGGCCATGACAGACATCCGCAGATCACCGACCTTGCTCCGTGACTCCACCAATTCAACCAAGGAGCGAAGCTTTCGGAAAGGAGACCCAGCAAATAGCCATGCAGCAAGAAAATATCAAGCCAGTGTAGTTTGAAAGCTGGCAACAAGTTCGTGTGGTGTTGGCAGATGTAAGAATACACAGAGATATCCTAAGTCGAAGTACCCGCGATATTGACACCAGCACACAAAAATACAGATACAGAAAGGAAAGGGTGGCAAAGACCCCAAACTTTTTGAGATCAGAATTTGGGATTCATGGTGTTTTTAAGTAAGTGCCTTGAAAGTACCATAATTATACAAGACAAAAAAAAACATCATTCAACAACCCATGCACCAAGCGTCACTATGACACCAGCTCGTGCATCCCATTTCCACAAAGCACCAAAGAATCCAAGGAGAAACCTGAAGTATCGGCACACGCGGCCACTCCTTCATGTTGCACATTGCGCATCTTCATTTCACTGCCTTAAGTCACTACAAACCTCAAGACTATGTGCACGAACATGTATGTCATGCACGTATTGAATGTGCACGAAGATGTATGTAATGCACGTCTTGAAGAATCACATTTAATATTCCAACACCATGCTTAAGGATTCTTGAAGATAGCTGAGCCTGACATATCCGGTCCTGACCTGAAAATCTTTTTGGTCAAAAAATGTAAAAAAAATCTGAGCGACTGCTATAATACAGGTGGATAATTTAGATAATCAAGCTTGAACATTCAACATATTCTACAAAATAAGTACATAAGTCTAATGATCTATTTTTATTTTATTTTTTTCCTGGTGCGACCGCCTTTCCAGAAATAGCCAGGAGGCCCCAGGGATATTGGCACCAGCGCCATAACCCAGCTGATCATCATCCTTCGGATCTTCGGTGGTGTTGCCTTCATCGCAACAGTGTTTGGTCAACTTGCCCCCCCTTAAATATCCTAACATATTTTAGCATAGCTTAACATATTTTCACCATTACCAACCAACATAACCTACTGCAACAACATAATAGCCATCCTTGATGCCTGGACCGTTGATCACTGTCTTTTTCCTGCGTACACTCGGAAATCTGAAGCACTTAGGGAAAAGTCCGTGCCAGACTCCTGACCCAATGTTTATCAGCAATAACAATATATTCCATGTTATTCCTATGTTTGTTGCCCAACACCCCCGATTGACGTGTCATTGATGTTAGTTGTACTTCGGCGGCCGCCAGGTCACAATTTGGATGATCTTGGCCTTCTCTGATGCCACGTAGGCTTCATATCCACACCAAAGCCTACAATATACCTGGTGACGTAATTTCAAAGTGAAGTGAGACCCGGACAACTATATATAATGTATATATTACATCGTTATTTGTTACTACAAAACAACGATTAAATGAAACAGCATAAAACAAAAACATAACATAACCAAAATATACATAAACACGGTGTGAAACCACCAGCCAGATACACTCTGGTGCCGGTTGGGCACAACCAAGACATAGCGAGATGCTTGCAGTGCCAGGGCAAAAGGTGATGTCTTGGGAGACTGAAGCATAGAACCAACATTCAGGTTTTGAGGGTTCGCAAGCATGCAACACCATGCATGTTTAGCGCGAGAGGGCCACGACCCCAGAACTTTTGAGAGGAATTCAAAGATGCCTTCTTGCCAGGCATGACTGACGAACAAATGGCAATCCAAACCATCTGGATTCATCATCAACGCCCAACTCATTTTTCCAGCTTGTGCTGTAATGGGTTTGATATACTGCTCGTTCACTACATAGATGCTCGGACCAAATTCATCATCGTCTTCACTCTTTTTGCTCTCGTCATCACCATAGCTACTTGGAGAGGACAAGATGAGCCCCTGCTGAATGGCACTGATGACTTGCTGCCTTAAATATCTCAGGTCTGCATAGGTCACGCACCACTTGTCAGGACTCACAGCCTCATGTAGTGCAATGGCTTCGATAGTCGTGGTCTTGCGCCGACTACGGCTCTGTAGCATCCCAGGGACTCCAAGCTGCAAACTTTCAACGAAGAAATCAGATTGCAGCCGCAGAAGGAACCTATCTTGAATTCTGTTGGGCAAGCTATGATTGTATATCCTCTTAGACAAGAGCACATTGAATCATTACAGCACGTCTATTGATGTCAGTCCACTGCAAGAGTCTGTTTTTGCTGCTTTTGGCATCCCAAATTAATTCTGGAAAATGTATTTAATCTGAGCTATCTTCTCTGGTTTCTTCAACCATTTTCCCAGTGCACACTCAACAGCTACTTGCGCGCCTGGAAAAATGCTGCAGAAGATACAAGCGCAATTACACAACATATCAGTACTTGTTCAGAGACGTGTGTATTTCATCTTCCCATCTTAGCCTGTCATAGGATCGTTTTTATTTTTGAGCATTGGATCTCATTGGATCTTGAATCGAGCAGTGGTATGTTCAATTACTGTACAAGAAGTGGAAGTGCAGTGGATTGGTCTTTACAAGCATGCAGGAAGGATCCTGGAAGGTCCCTGATGATTGCAGACTTGCAGACGTATCGAGGAAGGTACCATCCACCTTCAAAGGAAAGGACAGGGAAGGAACATCATATTCTGTTCCCGCTGGAACATTCCAATACTAAACAATAAATGATGGAATACACTCGGAAGGCAGTGGGCTAAATGAGACAAATACCGGCCCTTCCACCAAAACAGAACCTGCCTGTATGGATCTGTACATTACGTGACATCAACCTGGTGTCCGTGATGTCAAACAATGATGAGAAGGAAACCCACGGTCTTCAAAATCAAGCAAGGATATCCGACTATGTCACTGATTGTTGGCTGTGTGCTGGGCCGCAAACCTTTGCGCGAAGCATTTCTCTACTGCGCAGGCATTCGTCGGAGCTTTTACTTGGATTTTCCTATCCGCGACATCCTCACCACAGGGGTGGAGTACTACTCTGTCTCGCTCTCGGAGGCAGCTGTGGTGGAGGATCGCTTGCTGAACAAATCTTGTCTCGCAAGGAAAAAGTGCAGCATGCACTTGCCGCCTGCAAGAGCAAAATGTGACAGTGCTGGAAAACTGCCTAGCAGCTTGGGACCTTAGGATAGAGATACAGGATTCATCAAGATTCCCTATCACGTATTGTTTGGACTGCAACATGATGCGAAAACAAATCAACTGCTGGATCTGTTGGATACTTCTGTGCGGCGAATTCCCCATGTTTGTCCCAAGGGATGCCTGGAAGCGCCAATGTGCCGTTGATTCCGATGAGCGCAAAGAACAGAGCCACAACAAAGGTAAGGTGAAATGACCTGACGCCACCCCAGGAATGCAGCCTGATTCATGAACACAATGTCTGTGAAAACAAACATCCCGAGGCCAACTCAATAGGCTCTTTCCGTTTCTTGACTTTTTTTTGGGTCCTCTGAATGCACCACTCCATTTGCGGCATGTCTGCTGCAACCCGAAAATGCAACATACTGAGGGATTTGTTCAGTCCAGCAGTCAAGTTTTGACTATCTCAAAAACTAAAACTGAAATCCCCGAGAATATACCAAATATGCCGTCATCCAAGGTCCTTTAGAAAATCCCTCAACATACCCTTGTCGCAGCTTAGCCATGCTACAAGAAGGTAAGATGCACCGTCCACAATGCAACATGGTCGTCCAAATGGGCACTGACTCCAATGGACATCACTGCAGGCAATGACATTGTTGCCACCAACTTGGTAATCACCTTCCTCAGGCGGGTTTTTACTAAGATCTGATCCAGACAGGAAAAAACAAACTGAACAAAACAAGACGTGACAACATTGACAACAGAGTGACAACCTGCTACGCGTCAAAATCATCTGCTAAACACTCCAGGTTTCAGCATGAAGCTCCTTCCATCAGCAGCTCTGAATGGCAGCAGCAGGAGGAAAGACAGTCGAGCTACGGAGCTTATGACGCCAGCGAGTGTACTCATCCAAGACAAATGGCCCGGATTTCCAAAAAGAAGTCCCGCGGTGGTATTGAGGATGCCTCGCGGGTCGGAGAAATCGTTTGGATCGCTAAAATAGCTCACTTGGCTCTAAAGCATTTGCGGTTAGAGGAGATGTTTGTTTAAGAATGACTTCCGACAGTGTGCAATCTTGATCATGTTGGTATTTTCTTGCTGAAGAGGGATTTAGTTTCAACAAACTTCCAGAGTGTCTAGGTTGACTAAACGTTGACAGGAATGTGGCACGACGGTTACCCATCATATCCTACCCAAGAGGCAAAATCAATCACGAAACTCTTCCTGGAAAAAGTCAATTAAGGAATGTCCCCAGAAGGGAAAATTGAAGGACTCGGAAACGAAGAACATATATAGTTAACTATATAAGAACAATATATATATAATATAGTATTATATAGTATATATTTATACGCATATGAAAACACATTAACACATAAACAATGTCAATTGAAAAATCATAACTATTATATTGGGAAAAAACATCAAAAATAATAACACATAACATGATACTCAAAAAAACGTATTTAAACACACACACACGCACACATGTACAGGGAATTACCATGGTAGCTGTTTGCAACCCGTTCTTGATCAGAAGTCCGAAAATGCAAAATAACAAATGCAGAAAGAAATCACGGACTGCCCTTTGCAGAAGATCTGCCCTGGGGAGCTGTTGTCAGTGTATGTTTTTGGTTAATTCCTTTAGGGGTCCACAGTTGTTTCTTTTGGCCCCCATTGAATTTTGCACATATGTGATTATGGTGTGAGCTGTTGCAAATGGTTGTTTTGGTTGGTATCTCTGGGTGTCCACATTTGTTTCTTGATGACTTATGACACTTTTTGTGTTTTCCAAATGATGCTAAAATCCCCAATCCTCCACCCTTGATAAAGTATACTTTGCATTTTCTGCCATGTTTACAGTAGCTGTCAAGGTACAAAGTACAAGCAAGGGCCCGAGAAATACAACGGCAATGGCAGTCTCTGCATGCCCTGCTTCCTCGATATCCACGCCCCTCTGGGCAGCATGTCTCAGAGAGGGCGATGACATTCCAGCCGAGATTAGCACGTGAATGGCATTGTCAACTTCATGTTCTTTGTCGCCAATTTCATCCCAAATATTTGTCCTGTCAGTCCTGAAACGAACAAATCAGCAAGCGGACTGTTGGGATGAATCCCAAATTGTTGTGCAAGCAAGTTGTCACCATCAATCCTGTCGTGAACTATTAAATCTACAAAGTTGCTGCGATGTGTTGTAATCATAAATGCCAAGTGTCTCTTGGGAGCAGCTAGCGAATCGAATCGAACCTCTATACCTGGATATTGGATGCAGCAGGCTTGGATGAAACATTGATCGAACTACCTTTTTCACCAGGTCCAAAAACATCCTTCGCAACAGTTCACCCAGGCACTTCTTTCGCAGTTGGTGAGGTGACCCTCTCTTTCAATATGATCGCTTCCAACACGATCTAGTTCAGCGATGACGAAAAAACTGATGGCTGCCTTGGTGAAATGTGAAGCAGCCAATGTCCAAGCGACAAGACACTGATAATTTGCTGACTTAAAAGGGAAAGAAGCATCATAATTCTTGAATACCCAGTGTTGAATCATACAAAATGTATCAAAATGTGGATCAGGGAGTTTTAGGGGCGAATACCATCGAGATCGAAAATTACAGAAGTACTTGAGTCTGCTACAGTACAGGTGGTTTTGGTAGAGACATGTTCGGGAAACTGTGAGGACCCTGCCCTCAAAATCGTTGTCTTATGTCATCTTTGTTTGCATGCAGTCATTTCGAGGGATTCCAAATCATCCCAGGTGCCAGCCACGTGAGGTGTCGCGAGATGGTTTCGATTTCAGGTCGCAAATCGTTAAATCTCAAAGCATTGCGTAATGGATCCCAACCCAGTTCCTTGGTGTTGGGAAAGGCATGGAAAGGCCAACCTGAATCAAAACCTGTAGGGATGCAACTCCATTACTTGGATGTGTTTGGCATGTCCAAACCTCAGACCTCACAAGACAAGCTGTCAGTGCACAAACATGGCTAGTGCATTGTGGGGTTTATGGCTGTGTTTTGTATGGCAAACAACGAAGCCGTCAGTGCATTTGTGGCAAAACGATGCAAAACGCTTGTCATCCTTTGGCAACAGAAACAGCGTCGACACGGTCAACAAACACGGGTACCATGTCAGTTTGCAACCTGTTCTATACTCTACAGCTAAACTGTTTTGGTTTGGAAATAAAACTTGCTACAGCAGGTCTTGCGACTTCCCAAGGTTTAAACAACACAGTCAAATGACGAGTCTCCAAGCAGGTCGAAGCAGCCAAACCCACGTAATTCGCTGTTTGGCGCAGAAGATGACCGCTGTAGGAAGTGATGAATGCTGCGCTGGCAGTCAACAAAGCCGTGGGTAACCTCAGCTGATGTGTGACCAAATGCTTGGGATTACTTTGAGACTAGCGAAGTCTTGGTGCCGTTTGCATGTCTGAAATTGAAAGTGTTGGGATCGGGAATCCAGGAGACAAGGTGCTGCATGTCAAAATCTGATATGCGGAACGAGGTCGTGACCTCTTGCACGTCTGTGATATCATTTTGTCATGGACCAGTAGCAGCAGAATTGTGTATGGAACGTTGCATCTAAGCAACCTGAGGTCCCAATTCAGGACCCTTCCCATCATGCCCATGAAGAAACCAAACAATGCTGGGGCGGCGCAAATCACAAACGTTTGGTACTTTGCACGAAGAGCCTCAGGTGGACTTTTTGCCTTCATGGATCAGGGAGTGGTTTTGAAGCCAGTGGCCACTTGGAGAGTCAATCAATCAAGTGAGCATGTGGGGCGTTTCTCATTTACCGAATGCTTATCCACGTCTTGGTTACCCCTGCTTGAAAAAGATCAGTCGTCAAGACTACTGGCACCTGTGAAAACTCAAAACAAGCCAGCATGCTGACTGACCATCTTGCAAGTCATTCCTCCGGTCCGCACCCTGTTGATAAACCCAAAGCGATCTCTGGGTAGCACAGGAAAAAATAGGCAACTTACTATAAACAAAACGCCTACTGTAGGTCGTGAGACTCTTATCTTAATAATAATTAAATTATACTTATCTTAATTCTTAATATCATAAGAAGATGATGGAGCATAACATATTTAGCTAATCTCAATTCACCCTTTCTGGGCCTCCCTTACCATTGCCACCATGGGGCGGAAGCCGTAGCGATCTGGATGGTCTTTGCATCCTCCGATGCAACATAGGCTTCGTATCCACACCAAAGCCGCGTGTATACGCTTCTGTGCCGGTTTGGGACCACCAAAACCTGGGCTAAAGTTGTTGATACGGACTGAACAATTGACACAAGCTGAACATATATTATCCCGGCTTGCCATATCCCAGCTAGCTATCGCCCCAACTGGGGGTTCAATGAACCCAAGGTTGAGCGCTTTGCGGTATCAATTAATTCATGATACCCTGTCGTACTGAGGCAGGGGGCATAGCGCGAGGCCTGCAAGGCCAAAGCGAAGGGTGATGTCTTTGGAGACTGAAGCATGGAACCGATGTTCAGATTCTGAGGGTTGGCCAGCATGCAACACCACACGTGTCTTGCACCACGCGGCCATGAGCTCAACACTTTGGAGAGGAATTCAAAAATGCCTTCCTGCCATGCATGACCTTGGTGTCTGAAAGAAAATATAAGTTCTGCTTCTTGTGCTCTCAACACACTTTCCTCTCAGCAGCACAACCGCAAGACAAATCTGCACTGTTTCTGACTGGTGAGCCATCAAAAACAACCCAGTCGCTCACAAAGAGGTCGCAATCCAAGCCATCTGGATTTCGCATCAAAGCCCAGCTCATCTTGCCCGCTTCAGCTGTGACTGGCTTAATGTACTGTTCATTGACCTGAAGGTTGTGCAAGCAAAGGCAGTCAGGGAGAATTACTTAGTAGACCGTCAGTAGAAAAATCGTTTCTGTAGCAAAATGAGAGCTTGGCTCAGGATAGCATAATGTACGTGCCAAATATGCCATGCGTCTATAGCCAATCTCTGATGGGTTTACAAGTAGCTGCTTCCCCGAATAAGACATCCTGTGCTTTAGCAGTGTTTGATATAAGTGATATCGACTGGTCCACTGAACTGGCTCCTATTCTGGCCAAACAGGAACATCTTGAAACAAACCAGCGCAGCTATTTCCTGTGCGAGGCACAGTGTAAATGCTTGGTCCAAATACTTCGTCATCTTCGCTTTCTTCGCTATCTTCAACTGCGGGGTCAAGAAACACAACACGGAGCATCTTAGAAACCAGAAACATGTCAACTTGCTCAGCTAGGATCTTGCAGAACCTCTGTAGCCCTTTCAGTTGCTTTCCTGGTTTTCCTGTCAAACGATCAAATATTAGGTTTATGTTTGGGCAACATAGGCACCAAATAGGATTGATCCCCCAAAACAAAGGAACGCCACAGGAGAAGTTTGGGTGGACAAACATCGTGATTTTGACCTCCAATTTGTTCCCATGGGTTTCCTTTTTTATGTTCCTATGTGTTTCCAATGTTTTCCTGTTTTGTTCTATGTTTCAGCTATTTGTTTTGCGGTTTTTGCAAATTTCCACTTCTCTTAATGTTTGCCAATTTTCGGAATTCATCTTTGTCCACCAATGTTTTTTCCTGTGTTTTTTTTGAGATTAATCATGCACTCTATTGCTTCAATTTGTTTTGGAAACTCCCAGGTGCCTGCATTTCAAACATAATAGTAACGACAGCCGGCACAACATGCACCGGTGACAAACTCACTGAAGATAGTGTGCCTGGAACTTGAACTGTGGAACGTGTATGCGAATCTGTCACAATCCTTCCATTTTGCATGGCATTGAGCACTTCCATACTAAGGTCTTGGAGATCTCTTCGAGTGACCTGGTGACATGTGCAACTCTTCACGGTCCCTCCAAGCGGTGACAAGATGAAGTTTCGGTGCCTATTACAACTTATCCATACAGCCGATCTGTGCACGTGCATCATTTACTGATCCCCCAAAAAGAAGCCTTGGCGGCCGTGCCAAAATGTTGAAATGGGCTTCCAAACACCCAGTCGCTGCTCTTGAGCAAGATACTGTATCTCGATGTTTACCCAAACAACATGCAAAAGCAACAGATGGACAAATGGATGTCAAAACCTCTTTTGAATACGCATGTTTGGATCATACAATTCTGGTGCGGGACGGCGGGACGGTTTCTTGGGAATTGATATGGTTTCTACATGTTTCTACTGGGTTATGGGTCGTGTCCGATGTTGGATTTAAGCGGAAAAAAATATCGAGGGTCAGAAATAGGTTCGGGACATCTGGAAACGCCATAGGCATATTCAGTATCTGCGGAAGAGTGGCCGCATTGGAGTATGTTATTTCAGAGTCTTGTGCTGCTGTTTGTGGATCTTTCTAGTTCAACATCTGTTTTGGTAAGGGTTTTGCACCCTTGTGTTGTACTTGCGCTGTGGAAGCTCTTTAGGGGCTGTGGCTGCTGCGTGCTAATGGTAAATGCAAATCCGGGTTTTTGATGGAGCTTAATCATTGTATCATATGCAAAATCTTGCAACCACCAACGTAATAGACATGTATGTAAACTGTGTAGCAACAAACTAGGTTTTACAGTATATTGCGCTTTTAGAGGCGAACAGCCGATTCCCATTTGGCTAAGCGTGGGGCGCACCAACGATCTGCTCGCACTGTTTCCTTGGCTTCGGGTGGTGAATAACAGCAGGCAAACCCACCCCAGCATGAGCACATTTTGTATCATGCCGTGTGACTTGGTAGCGCCAAAAGTTGGTAATATAACTACTCATGAAACAAAGGCTCACAATCTACACATATCTACACCCTAGTCCAAAAGTACTTCGCTATTCAAACACAATGCATTGGATTGTTGCAAATCCTGTGTACGCTGTGTCTGGGTGCTCGCATTCCAGAACAAAAACACCCAAGTTTATGCTTAGGCTCATGCAAAACAATTGCCAGGGATGTGTTCCACCTTGTTGCCAGGTTGGCATGAGCTACCGCCATGACGAGTGCCGCAGGGTCAAGGATTGGTATCTTGCTGACATGTCGCAAGTCGGGACTCTGGGTAGAAGCGATGTCGAATCAAGTGTCAAATTTTGAGGTCATGAGCCATGACACATTGATTGGCCCGGGGGCTTTTGGGTCTAAGAAGTATGATGCCGCACACTATGGCAATTGTTCCACTGGACAGTCCCCACGGAAGAGTCCGCTCTCAAAATCTTAATACTCCATGCCAGGCTGTCCATATCTATAGTTGAGCCAATCAGCTGTGGCACTCATACCTCTTCAATCTGTGTGTGTGTGTACTGTGTCAGTCTCTCTCATTGACCCCTCATGCGCAACCTCCCAGTGTGCCAGCATGGACAAGGAGAACAATAAGAAGGAGGGTTGGATTGATGATTTTTAGTGTATTGACTGGTGCACACATTTTAGTTCCTGTACTGTACATTCCTGTATAATGGTCCAGCTTCCACAGTTCGCCACGATTGTCCTTCACTGCGCTTGGCTCTTTTTCAAGCATTGGCACTTGATCCAAACAGCCGCAACTTGTGGTGGACAGGAACCAAACGCCACAAGGCCAGAGCACTTCTTTGGCACTCTTGTGAGATCTCATGTGAAACGTGTTTCCCTCTTCCAGGCTTTTGAAATCCAATAAAGTGAAGTAAAATATTGTGTCTCGGAGTCAGAGAAGCACAAAGCACAACACAGGCAAGCTTTGGCGTTTTGCAATGACAATCAGCTGGAGATCAGACGCCTTGAGATATATACATATGTTAACTGTTACATATATCATCATACATCATATATTCATAATTATACATTGATCATCTTTGATCTCCCATATCAATCAAACGATCAACCCTTGAACTTCACACTGTTCCCGAAAGCCGTCCATCTCATGCTTTCTCAGGTCGATGGAGTCGATGGTTCCAAGCTGCCGCTGTCTCTTGAGAGAAAGAGCTGCAGCAAACCTGCAGGTGGCATAGCTGGGTTTTTACTTTCAAAAATCTCCCAAAACATACAGACATACTAGGTATTTACATGGTATTCATATTACGTGATTTCACATGGTCATATATACGTATAATTATATAATATATAACATGGGCAATTGTCAACAGGACATGAATCTGACTTCATTTTGCAAAAGAGAGCCCTGATTTGCTCTCTTGGTCACTGGGAAAGAATCATGAGAATTTTAAGAGGTGCTGAGCACTATCTCCATCATCCCACTGATTTACCGAGTGTCGAAGACCTTGCTTCATTCAAACTGGCAACACATGGCAACATCCTATAGGTTTACAAAGGGGTACTGGCTACACAGTGGCCTAGTGTATCTGTCTGCCACGCACTGCAAAGATAGTGTAAGATGGAGGGCATTGCAAAGAAAACGACATGTTGAACTGTTTTAGCGCAGCACTATGCCACTAATCAGCTTGCATACCTCTTGATTTGGTTCTACAACCAGTAAACTCGGACGAACAGGAAGTCTGAACACTGGAAAATAGATGGCATGGACTCAAGGGCTTGCAACATCACTCAAGCAATATTGGCTCTGTTCCTCCTGTCATGACACATCCTTCCCACACAAAATATACTAAGCAAACATGCAGTAGACGCTTGCCAAAGGGTAAGGCCAGTGTTCTTTCTATGCCAAGAAGTGCAAAGAACAGTGCCGCGAAGAAGGAGTCATGAAAACCGATGAAGACGAGAGTGGATGCTTCGCCGAAAGCAATGACCATTGCAAGCGCAAAGGGCAGGTAGATCAACGTCACAAGTTTTGTGATTACCTTCAGCATGAAGCACTTCTGATCTGGAGGACTTGTCAAAAGGAGCCATAGAAAAAGGATGCGGGCAGCAGCACCAACAATTTCCAGAAGAACCTTAGTCGCCCAGTATGGAATATTCTGATTGGATGTAAATGCTGACACAGTTGGAGACAAACAAATGTTGAAAGAGAATGAAAGAGATCGAGTATGTGGCTTTAGGATGCTTTAGGAACCCTTAAAGCAAAGTTTCGCTTTTCATGGCTCTTTACTCTATTCTACTCACTCATCCATGCCCTGATCTTATAACTTGATGATAGCAAAATTATACATCACGTCTGAGCCAAAATGCCATCAACCCTTGAAGTCCGCGGCTGGGGAAGACCGGTGACGCTCCACATGCGCCCAAACAAAACAGTTCCAGCTGATTAAAACATTTGATTTCTTGAAACTTTCAAAAGGTAGCTGTACTAAACAGCAACTAAGTGACGAATAACCAATGGATTGCAGTGTGCTGATGTCTCGCAATCACCTCTACTACTTCAGCAAGGCAAAATACTAACCTCAGCTGCCGTGGTTCGCTCTCTCCCTTGGCCCTGCCTGTGAGGCTCCCCCAAGTTTGCACGCATCACACACTAACCACACATTGTTTCACACATTCACGATCCATAGCACTGGGTTGTTGAATGGCGACCTGCCAGGGGAAAAAAAACATAATATATAAACGAATTAAGTTTACTTGATCACATGTGTCACTTCTGTTGCTTCGCTTGCGAAAAGAAGTTCTGCAGCCTGGTTAAATGTTGGACCCACGTCCGCAGGCCACCGTTCCACGAATGCAAACAGTCTGATTCACTGACTAACTGACTAACTCTTGCTTCAAAATCATTGCATGAAAAAAACATATGGCAGAAAAGCAGTTCAACTTCACATACCAGAGCATTTTAAAACTATGACAAAATATCTCAAAACTATTCCGTTTTGTAGGGATTCTCCCTTCCTGATCCCAAGTCATTGCCACGCAACTGAGGCCTCAAGAAGACTGAAGGAAGCGCATACTCCACGTGGCCAGCATATTCCTTAAGGAGTCATGCCCTGATCAGTTGATGATCTCTGGGAATTGATCTTTCCCGAGGGTTCAGCATCCAAAATTCCAGTCAAATCCATTGAAATGCCCCGAAAACTATAACAAAACAAAACAACAGAACAGAACAAACCTAATCTCAGAAGTTGGAATGATCTTGTCACTATGTGTCACTGTGCCACGAAAAATCACGAAAATGTCACACAAGAACGCTACCAAGTACGAGTACTGCAAGTACAACTGTTCAAACCAATACAAACCAGTCGCGATGTTGACCCCCGCCGCAGCGACATTCCGCAGGGCCGGAGATGACATCCCAGCAGACATTAAGACATTGATGGAGCTGTCAACGTCCTGAACCTGGCCAGCAACTGCAACTGCCACAAGGATCCAGAAGGATTCTGAAACAAGGACAAACAAGTCACATCACGGCACCTTGTCATCAATCTCGGCCCAAATGTGTTCCTTGTCTGTCTCATCAGAGCAAGATGCAAAGTAAATAGATCCTGCATTCGTGAGGAAAATATGCAACACCCCATCTTGTTTCAGAATGGCATCAATATGGTATCAGTCTTTCAATGGGGTCAAGCGATGCAGCTCGAAGTGCTATGGATAACAATAAGGATGATTAATCCCAGTGTTTTCCAGGATCTTGATCGTTCACCCGTTTTCGCCCTTGGTGGGGCCCATTTGAAGCACAAACGTCCTTGGTAGCCTGCTGAAAGTTGCTGGGCCGCCTGCAGCAAGTCGATGCCTTTCTTTCGATCCAGCTCGGCAATCAAGAAGAAAATCAAAGTAGCGCAAAGCCATACAAGGTCAGCTTGAAAAATAGCTGAATACCTGACGCAGTTTCATGCAACAGTCCTTATATTTTTGTAATTGAAGGAAGTTTGGAAGTCAAATTTCCGACAATGTGGACAGATGAAAAGCAGGGGTGGGAAGAGTCAGAGAAGAGAAGAGAACAAAAGAGAAGACGAGAAGAAGAGAGAAGATCAGCGAAGAGAAGGAGTCAGAAGAAAGAAGATCTAGGTGCGCGAAAAGGTGTTTTTCCAATGATTTGTGGGCCCGGAGGGTCGAAAAGTAGGCTCGCTAAAGCGGCGGGTGCGGAGCCTTCTGGCCAGATGAGAGATCAAAAGTTGCACGCCGCTGTGGCGCGAAGCAAATTTGCAAGTGAAAAGGTTAAAGGCACCTCACGGTTGAGATGTTGAAAAAGTGCATGATGTTGTGGCGCGAAGCAAATTTCGAAGTCAAAAGTGGAAAAAACTGATGGGTTCGGACCACTTTTGGACGTTCAGATTTCATTGCGCGTGGCAGGCGCACGGGATTGTGCAGCTTGTCAAAAGTGAGAAAAACGTGAGGGTTTTGTGGCAGTTTCAACTACAACCACCACTACACTACACTCCACTACACTACAACTACAACTACAACTACATGACGCTACACTACACTTCATTACACTACACTACAACTACAACGACAACTACATTAGTGTTACACTACGCTACACTACACTAATTACATTACACAACGCTACGCTACGCTCACTACATTACACTACACTACACTAAGTACATTACACTACGCTACACTCCGCTACACTACACTACACTCCACTACACTAATTGAACTGCGCTGCAACTACAACTACAGCTACAACTACACTGCACTGCGCTGCGCTGCACTACACTAACTACAACTACAACTACAACTACAGCTGCACCCAACCACACTACATCGAGCAGTTGTGGGTGAGGTGACCGACCAGGTGACCACTGCAACCATTGTAACCATTTCATAAAACACAACTCCAACCACCTTTCAGTCCATCAGTGGATTCGCTCTGCCATCCGTGATTCACAACAACCAAGCTCTCCTATAGGTTTCCTATTTTTGAAACTTCCGCCACCGCCGTGTGCAGTACTACTGGTATACAATGATTATCAATGATTAATATAAACTGCTTCTGATTACTGAATATTAATGGCACGACAACGAGACACAGGGAATGGCCGAATTCTTTGAGAGTCAAGCAACACTTTCACCATCTTTCACCCATCTGACATCTTCAGAGAGCAACGGTCCTTCGACACTACCATTGGAGTGGTACATCGCAGGGTACACCACACTGAACTTGTTTAAAGGATTTTAAAGGCACACAAGGCCTCTTGATCTTCTTGTACACACACACACATACACTGACATACACCCACGCACACATACGCACACACACACAGGCAATGCTGTGCAAAAAGAACTAATCCAACGACCTTTGGAAGGAAAACCACAGTTTGACAATTTTCACTCGAAGCAATTTTTGTCTTAAATGTGAAAGCTGAATTTGTTAGAAGGCTTAAGAAATCCAGTGACCAGTACTGAAAGACAAGCTGCAAAAAGCATGTTCGGGTAGATTCAGGATCCGGGCAGGTCGTTGGCTTTAGTGAAAGCCACAAAGACATCAAGCACGCGGCCACCAGAAGGCCGCAATGATTCGCAACTTGGCACCTGCAGCAGTAAACTATGTAAATTGCACCCCAAGCAGTCAATTGTGGGTATTCTTCTGGCATGGAGATTCTTCGTTGCCACTGAACAAACTTGAACCTGGACACTGCATCTACTAATCAAAACAGAGGCACAGTGTGTTGCTGGTGGTGACGCTGACGACCGCTGCGCAGCACTCCAAGATGACCTGATCCAACGAATTTCCAGCTTCTTGTGCCACAAATTAACTCTGGCTACTCCTCAGGCTGCTCTTCTCTGAAAAAGCATTTGGGGCACCCTGAAAGGATCGTTGGTCCGGGGGCTCTTGCTGGATTTCAGCGCGGCCCAGCTAAACCCTTCAGGCATCTTTACAAAGAAAAACAGACAAACAGCCTTTGAGACTTGTTAAGCTTGGTTTACAACAGGTACAACAGGTTCAACTGACCTCTTTCCCCCGTTTGCCAGCTCCAGCAAGCCAGGACGCAAGTTCACGTCGGAGGTCCACTTGATGGTAACAAAGCAAGATGCCGACGGATAATCCCAGAAGGATAGGCCCTGTGGCGATCAAAAGACTTCGATAGATGTAGTGTATCCGGGGAGGAGTGGCAAGTTGAACCACTTTTCCTTGCTCCGATGCCACATGAGCTTCATAGCCACACCAAAGCCTCGTGTATAAACTTTTGCAATGATTTGGCACAACGAGCATGTGGCGCGATGCCTGCAACGCAAGCGCAAATGGAGATGTCCTTGGACACTGCAACATTGAGCCAATGTTCAGGTTCTGCGGGTTTGCCAACATGCAACACCATGCATTCCGAGCAGAATAGGGCCAGCATGCAGACAATTTGGACAGAAACTCGAAAATGCCCTCCTGCCATGCATGGCTCACAAACCTCAGACAACCAGTCCAAGATGGAGCAAACATGTGACGGTTTTGACTTGCAATTCAATTAAGAAACATTGAAAAACCATGAAAAACCAAGGGCACCTCAGCCCAAGTCCACTTTTTGTTGGAAATCCAGGGTATCTTGGAACCACAACCCACCTACGAGATGATCAGGATTGCCCCAATCCATTATGAATCCCCCCTTTATCTGGGGTGTTGGGAGCATCCCTGACCCCAGTGGCCCCAGTGTACCAAAGCAAAGCACAACAAAGCTTTGATTCTACTTGTCCAACACTGAGGACAGGGATGACCCACCATGTCCCACAATGTCCAACGACTTCATCAAAGAAACAAATCGCAGTCTAAACCCAAGGGATGCATCATCAATGCCCAACTCATCTTGCCCGCTGCAGCAGTGATGGGTTTTATGTACTGCTCATTCACAGTGTAAATGCTGGGACCGTAGTCAATCGCTTCGCCTTGCTGATCGTTTTCGGATCGATAAATAACAAAAAACAGTAGCAAACCTGCAGAATTCATTCAGCAACCAATGAACAAGATTAAAAAGGCATGCTTTAATTTTTGCACCACGTGTGAAAACCCATGGGACAGAAGTATGGAACAAATAAATACAGTGCTGAAGTGAAATCCAGCTGCTGGTTTCAGAAGCCGATTCATCTGGCACAATTTCGCCTGTCACGACAAAAGCCAGTGAATTGTGACACGAAAAAGACTACATTTGTACATGAAGAATCCCCCAAAAAGCAAATCACCTTTGTTCCATAGAAACACAACATGTTTTCTGTGACAGCTTCAGCATACTGAAACACGTTTTTTTGTATTTGTCTAAAGTCAGGCTCCCCAACGCATCGCAACGCCACATTAATGGTTTAGGGTTGCCTTGTCGGATGGCTTCTGCCACTTCTTGCCATAAATATCGAAGATCCCTGTACGTCACACACCAGCGCTCTGGGCTGATGGACTCGTGCATCCGAATGGCTTCCTGGTACGGTACATCCAGGACCATCCAGGAGGCGCTGTGACAGTTGCAACATATACACCACTGATGCAAAATGATGCGTGTCACCGTGTCAACCTAAAGAAATCGAAAAGATTCCCAGGTTATCCCAGCTTCAAGATGGTTCAAGTCTCCATCCCACAATACATCAATCCTCCGCTCCGAGAGTCAGAATTGAACAAGAACACTGACAGAAAGAAAGGCTGGCTGAAATTTGGGAACGAGTTTCATCTGTTGGCTTTCTTCTCTCTCTTGTCCTGTTGTGCCTTTCATCCCAAAGCCAGGAGAACATCTCCGGACTTTGCAACAAAGTAATAAGGAGCTTCGGACAGCTGCGGGTTTGAGTCTCCAGAATCTGCGGCATCAAGTATTTTTTTTGCAGAATGTGACCCCTTACAACATTCAAGTAGGATTCAATCCATCTTTCTTCAGTCACAAGTCACCAGTCCTTGTGCTTGCGAGTGTAGTATTCAAGTCCGGCATTGGTGTATTCAGGGGGCGAATTCGTTTTCCATGTCATCGTGTGTCCTAGGTTCGCCGTTCAACTCATATATACTATTAACATGTGATAGGGGACTCATTGACTCAAGGGGCCAATCTACAATTAACAAAAAGCCAAAAGAAATGCAGGGTTTGACCCGGTTTCTTTATGTTTCTGCTCCACCCGAAAAGCTGGAGGACCTTGTGACTCCAGAACCTGCCACGCGCACTGGCAGTAAGACAAAGTCAACAAATGAGTCCTTCCAAAAGACCCAAATGATGCAGAGTTGTTACTTCAGAAGTTCTCAACATGTTCCGTTGATTTCCAGGAAATCAATGATTTTCTGGCTAACAGTCTCAACAAGGCACGGTCACGTCGGTCGTTCTATCTTCAGCTAAGAGGCCGTTGCCAGTGGGGCTACCCATTGGAAGCCTTCGAGCTCGATTCACTGGGACCTTTTCAGCAGAACGACAGGACCATGAAATATGAGCAATGGACCAATGGATGTCAATTGTTGAATACTTATGAATACACCATTTTGATCAATGATAAGAGTGACAACATATTTAACTAGGTTGTGAGAGCGCTTCCTTTCGCAAATTTATTTGTTGCCAGCTACTAGGCTGCAATGTACGAGCTCCAATCGTCAAGCCATGGGTATCCCAACGGTATGGGTGGATCCATCTGTGAAGCATACCTCGCAGGCTGGCTCTGACAAGGAGGGCACTAAAGGGCTGTCAAGTCCTTGTGCAACACATACCAGTGATGGCTTCCACTGGCCAAGTAGAAACCAACATGGAATGCATATCATGGAAAAAACACACACACGCACACACATCCAAGCCGTGTTGACCAAGTGCAGGGACTTGCCTCGAGGCAATTGGCATCAGGATCGTAGTTCACCAAGCGTCCAGACTGACAAGACCTTAGTTTATCAGTGTGAGAAAAAACATATCTAGACTATCAACTATCAATACCAATAAAAGCACTGAGGACGTGGTACTCTAGATTCCTAGATTGTTGAGACATGGATGGACATGGTAATTCATTGATTAATATATGTATATATATATATATAATTATATATATACATGCATAGGTGTTGCATCCTTCTTCAATGTCATCATTCAAGAAGCAAAGCGCTGGTACATCATCTTCAGAATCCGTGCCTGTTCAAGGGGAAGGCTTCAAGATAGGAACATTGCTTTGCTAGGTGACTTCCATAAAATTAGACAGCTGCAGGATGCTGCAGCTGCAAGGATCAGAGGCACGACCAGCGGGGAACATGGCTCCCTCTTCTTCTCTGGGCTCCACTGCCAGCGGGAGAGCAACACTCCAGGAGGCAACAACACCTGACATCGCTTCAAAAAAGCTTCCTTGACAAAGCTCTGGATGTACAACACTATACAAACATCAACTCATAGAGCAAAGTGAAACATCAAATCTTGAAACTGATCCAAGCATAACCATGACAAACTTGATCGTGGGTTCAAAGCCGCATGTCTCGGGTTTAGCCCCAGAATCACTTCAGCGTAGAGATGAGAAATGATGAGAATGGATATAGAATAACGTGGTAACCAAATGTAACCAGTGGCAGGATGGAGCAGTGTACCATTTTGTTAAAATCCAGCTACCGCCGGTGGGTTTGAAATGTGTTGGATCCCCGCACCAATAGCACCTCCACGGCACACCCCACTGGCCAAGCATGGCCCGACTGTGCCAAGTTGAGACGCAAGGCCTGCAGGGTTTTGGTTTGGCAAGAAACTGTGGATATGGGTTGGGATGCACCAGTGCTTATCAGTGCTTGTACATTATGTAATCATTATGTATATTTCATTTGCGGAACCAAAATTTGACATAGACAGTCATGTGAGGCATGTGCCTCCAGGTCCAAACTCTGCTCCCACTCCCGTCCCTACGTCCCACCTCCATGGAGTTGTTGCTCTTTTGACGCGCCTTGGAATATGGAAGAAGAGAAGGGGCCATCCACACAGGGTATACTCCCTGAAAAGCCTTTCAAAGGGCTCAAAAGGCTTTGATTGTTCCAAAATCACAGAACAGGGTAATTATTCTGGTTAGCGTAGCTCACCGTATTGTAGCCAAGATATCACATCACATGGCAATATCATTTAAGAAGGTAAAATCAAACTAATCAAAGGACACTACAACAATGTTACAATGCTGTACTCTAGGACCTTGAGGAAACAACTACCTACAGGAGATCTTACATTGCGCACAGCTTCCAAAGCTTATTGAGGACCACCATGTATTTCACAGCCAATGTAAGAATAAGAGGGAACAAAAACAAATGGCTGCAAAGTACGAAAGCCAAACTGGTGCAGCCCAAGCGAACTTTATTTCTTCAGCTGCGGCTGACTAAAAGACCCCCCGCAGTGCTTGTTGCAAGCACTGGGAGTAAATTTATCAACATCACAGCGGGCGAGGCGTGAAGGAGTAGTCCACTTCAACGCTTCAATCTGTACACTTTGTTTGCGGTGAACAAAGCTTTAAAGACACATTGCACCAAGCAGATCAGCTTGAAGAAATATTAGGACGTATGTTAAAACACGGTAATCAATGACTTCAGGCAGCTCGGACCGCTTTTAAACTGAGCTCGCCCTTCACTCCCCAGCCTTTCCACTCGGGCCTCGTGCTTGGCATTCCAGAATGTCATGGAAAAACTGCAACAGGTTTAGGGGATGTTGTGACCACAATAAGAACATTAGCTTTTCGGAGTTTCCAATTCCTTACTGGGGATTAGGCACTGGCTGCAACAGGTTGCCCCATCAGACCTGTTTTGGAGCGTATTGCTGCAACTTTCATTGTGAAGATCAAAATCATGCAATAGGCGAGCAGTCGTCCGCAGTTGGTACTGCCTGTCGCCAAGTGGATGACAGTCGTCATGACCCCTGGACTGTCAACTTGGGCATCTCGGCCGGAACTTCTCGTAGATTGAGAGGCAGTCACTTCTCAAGACCTGACTAAATGCACCAAGCATGGCCAGAACTGCATTTGTTCCGACCAAGCAAAGGTTTCTGCAAACTGTCAGGCCGTAAGAGAAATGGTCCAGTTTCATGAGGTGCCAAAGAATTATCAGACCACATCAGTCCACACTATCAGCGTCTTTTGGATTCTTTTGGCATCTCCAACGGACTGGTCCCCGGCAGCAAATGTTGACAACATCCTGGCCTGCGAAGTACGCCGACGCGCGGCAACCTCCATGGCACTTCGAGTGGCCTGCCGTGTGACCAGTTGTAGAGTGAGATCCCAGGCCATTGTAGCGACATGTTGCGACTGACAAATTCAAGCCATTTGGATGTGCTGAAAGAGGTCCAGAGGTCCAATACATAGAGTCCAACCATCTCAAACAATATTTTATGTGTGACTTCGTCCAGGTTCTTGACCAATTTCTCTCTGATTGACGGATCAGTGTGAACCTTGTTGTTGTTTGATGTTGATGTCATGCTTGACGCAACTAATCTGGCCTGAAGATTCTCTTTAAAGGAGGAAGTCAAATACTTCTGCACCTGTGATTCCATCCGTTTCAACAAAGACATCACCGCACATCAGTGACTCCAGGCTCATAGACCTTACGATCATGGTATATCATGGTTGTTCATTTCTGACACTTTTGGAAGTATAGGCCTAAAGTCCATCAATCTTATATAATCTTATAATGTTCTTCAGGGTATTGATGGTCGTGTATAATGCGATCTAGTCAATACTGCAATACAATGCAATACAATGCAATACATATATCATTTCAGTTGCCGCCTGTTGAGGATCCATGGGCTCACCACGATTGGTGGCTCTGAGCCCCCTGGCAGCCAGGGGGAAGCCAGTGGCTCGTTTTGCTCGTTTTGGGATGTAGATTCCACACGGTGTGGATCCAAGTTGAGGACCCACCAGAAATGGGTGGTTCATGAGTATAGTTCAATACAAAATAATACACATATGCTTCAAAACGACATAAGCTGATATAAGCTGACCAATCATGTTTGATATGGCTTTACGTGGTTCAACACAGTTTTATCATATATAGATTTACACAGTGTTTCATATACTCAGCACTGCCAGATAAGTGGATCGGGCGTTGACCTTTTTGAACCCAGAAGATAGAACTTCACAAACTGTGTTCCAAAGAGTGCGTTTTGTTATGTTTTGTTTGCCAAACATCGGGACCAGCAAACACCAACGGTCCGATATGAGTCGATACTGTTCTTTCCCACTGAGGTTCGGTGCTCGTGAGATGCTTTTGCGACTGGAATGTTCATCCCCGCAATCCGAACCTCATCACAAAATTTGTTTCTCCGATGTTTTACCAACGACTCACATCCTCCGAGGAAGAATGTTAGGCCTGTTAGGCTGATTGCAAATAAGGCAAACTTGTGAAGGTCCTGACAGTGAAAGTTTGCAATTTCATGAACGGCTTTAAGCAACACAAAAACACTAGTCTTGGTTTTGAAGCACGATGAAATGTCCTGCAAGGGTAAAACATGGTAATCGGATCATTACGGCTGTGTTTGATGTGCAACCACTATTAACTATTATGGACCGTTGTAAGCTCATGACACACTACAGTAAAGTAATAATAAAATAAAAGATGTGCGCCAAACCTCTAGGCCTTACTGGTTTTCGAGCCATCATCAAAGTTTCACCAGCACCAAATAAGGTCTCCATGCCATGACGGGGGGCTCAAATCAGAAGTTTCACCGCAAACAACTGGGTCCCTGTGCGGTATCGTTCTCCTTCGGGGTAGAAGCCTTGGTCCTAACGAGATGGCTATGTACCGGTCGTCATCCCTTCACATCCACGCCCTATGTCTGTTACCAAATTCAAACTGGAGGCCTCTTGGGAGATGATGGAATGATGCCTTAGAGGCGGCGTGGCTTACCCCCCAAAAATGGATGTACAAGACATATACAAGTGATGAGCTGTAAAAGAGTCGCAAGATGTCAAAGGTCTAAGTAGTGTTGGATATTAGCCATGTATGCATGACATAGTTGATTTTAGGCATTATCATTTATCATTTATCATTTATCATTATCTATCATTATGTTTCAGGGAACCTCAACAACCCAGCTCAGCATGTGGTAAGTTCAAGGAGTGTCTCAGCCTCAGTATAGGATTTGAGGCATACGGCATACGGCATACCTATGGATCTTGAGGTCGCATTCCATTCCGAACGGATTTTGGGTCTTCAAATTTGATCAAAACCATGAAGTCCCTGGGTCAATGGAGGTCTTGTCTTTGGGGCAATGTCAAACGGACTGCAAATCGCAAACCATAGACTTTAGATGGCCTGCTACACGCAATGGAGCCGCTGACTTGCATGTTGAAGTGTATTTGACATTATTTGACATGATCAAGTTGGAACGCAACATAACCCATCTTATATGTTTAAATGACACATGCATACACATGCAATCGCATGCATATTCTCAGGTCAAACCTTGAGCAATGAGCATCCAGGCCAAGGCTTCTTCCTTTTGCTCGGGCGCACAGGGCTGTGACTGCCTGGCCCACTGGCACAGGAAATTTCGATGCGGTGGACTCCACTGGTTTTTCTGTGGCTTGGGGCCTTCCAACACGTTACAAGGTCGCACAAGGAGGTGCTACTCTTGTCTACCGCATTTGGGCATATTTGGGCATTCCACATGACCAGGACCTCTCAACTGACCTCAGATTTCGATTCTCCCTGTAGAGCATGGCATTGCACACACACACAGAATTTTCCATGCAACTGACGCGTTTGCGTAACACATAATTAAGACAAAAAAACATCTGCCATCAATGTGCTCCAGCAAATGCTCCAGCAAAGGCAGAAAACAGTTCGCCGACTCAAGATCGGCTTATGCGGCTAATGTTGAGTGGTAAATGGTACCCCAAAGGTACATGAGCCACGAGTAGGCTACAAGACCTCTAGTTTGCTTCCACTGCAACAGGCTGTTGTCATCTGTTATCTATGTTTGACAAACCTCATGCGCCAAGGATTGCTATCTACCACTCAGTCATGGACTATGACTGTGCGATCCTTGGGATCCGACGATACGAATTCCTACAAGCCATAGCCTGCATACTCCTTGTGGAGAACATGAGGAAATCCTTGTTTTCAGATGTCTTCAGGTGCTTCTACGGATAGTTCTCTGCTTGAACCAGTGGGTGACAATATGACAAATCCACATATATCCAAATGTACATGATGAATTACTAGTTGAGTATGTCTTGCGATTGCCAGTATGTAATTGTGCAAAATCGAATCAAACACTTTAGCAAAAGTGGTTTATCGATGTTTATTGCAACAAAAAAAATGCTTCAACTGTATGAAGGAACAAAACATAACAAAACAGCGTCCACATTGACTTTTCAAGGCTATTGACTGCCAAGCCTGTATTTGGGTGTGCTTGGTAGCAATATGTGAAGATACGATTCACTCACATTTCAACATTTTTGGAAATCCTGCATCCCTTGGTCCCGAGCAAATGTCCAGGCTTTAAAGCTTGTTGCCCTTTCAAAGGACAATACCAAACGCAACTCCCAACGATTGTTGCTGGGATCCAAAGCATTTTGTTGCCTGCGATGTTGCCATGTTTTCTGATTTGTAATTCATTGTCAACGCCTAGTTCAGTTGGGGGATGTCTTGACATTTTGCATTATTGTATTTAGGTACAGCACAGCTTCGACAAACAGGGATTACACACAATCATGGCAACCTACAGTTCATAGCAAACAAAAACGTCAAGATTGATTGGATGTTGACTTTTGCTCCTTTGGCAAGTTTCAGCCGTGGCTCACATGATTATAATTATAATACCCCAAACAGCTGCTGCTACCCCTTGCAGCAACATTCTGACACAACCAAACCTCTACTCGAAAACCAAAAGGTATGTATGAAGGGTGGAGTCGACGATTCCTGAAGCCACTGCAAGAATTACGGTGAGTTTCCTGATGCTCTGACTCTGTTTCGACATCACAGACTGCAGCTCCCTTCAAACGTCCAACTCAGGATAAGGAAGTAGCGAGGATCGAACACAGCTTTGCCTCAGGTGCCAGCAGGTGCCAAAAAGAGGGCGGAAAACGAATCACTCCGGCTGCAGTTGTAACACAAACATACTTTACCATACTTTATCCATGTGTCTGGTCTACGTTCCCTTTTGCTTCTGAGACTGGCAAGGAAAAACGTGGATAAGGTGAAAAGAGCCTGTGAAATGTGAGTGATTGGTTTTGCGTCTGTTACTATACCAGCTTACAAATGACATTGAGGCTACTTACTTCAGTCCGGAAAGGCTCAAAATGTTTTGGAAGTCAGCCAAGCGGCTTCAAGGAAAAGCCGGCTAAGAGGCCAAGCAAAAAGCAACATGTTGTGAACCTGCATTTGGTTGGCCAGAGAGCTTTGGATTTGGATAGGCTGATATTAGCGAGAAGGAGCCCTGTGAGCCTGTGAGGGTTCAGCTTCTATCATAAAGTTGTGGAAGAAAGTGTCAGGCATACGAAGTAATTTGGTCTGCCAAGCCAATAATTCTACACAGCTCTGCGTCATTGGCATTGCAAAAAGATCTCTGCCCTCTGACCCTTTTCAAAGCTTTCTCAGGCGATTCATGCACTGGGACTGCCAAGATCCACGTGTTAGTAAGCAGCAGGCTGCATCTAGACTTGCACACAAAGTGTTTGCGGCTATATATATATACCGTATAGTTTTCTTTACGTCTGGGTAAAATAACCATGAACAACCACACTATGCACATGGATACACATGTGGCATCCTCTGTCTTTATCTTATTAAACTGAACCTCCCCCTAAATTCACTTCCATGCAATCACAAAGCTTCCTGCAAATCAAAGGAAATTCCCTCCACAATCGACACTAAAATATGTTAAAATCATTCAAAAAAAAACTATTATCATCTATTATCTTTCTTCCGGAGCGCTGCATCTGGTTGCGAACCTCATATCCATCCACTGTTGGAGGGATAGAGCTGACTGGGATGAGGTCGACGAGGTCAAGGCGTGGAGCTTTGCGGGGGCTCCACGGAGTCGGGCAGCGTATACGACGGGAGGTGGACGTCCTGCCAGTGCAGCACGTTCCTCCTTGTTCGGCTTGTCTGTGGAATAGTGCCTGAAGAACTGAAGGAGAGAAAGTGGGAGGACTCTTGCGAGACTGCGAGACATTGCGATCTTGACATAAGACTTAATGTAGGATGTTATAGGGCTATGTGAGTGATTTTGTTGGACTGCAGGGCCATGTGGAAGTTATTACCCGTTCAAACCCATTGATATTGTCGTTTTTGTTGCGCCCTGATAGCTTTTCAGGGGTTCAAAGTTCAAACTTACATACAGCTACGAATACGATCGTTTCATCGCAAGATAAAGTGCACCTTGTCGCTGTCGATGCTGCTGCTGCTGCTGCTGGTGGTGGTGGTGGTGGTGGTGGTGGTGTTGTTGTTGTCGTCGTCGTCGGTGTCGTCGTCGTCGTCATCGTTGTTGCTGTTGCTGCTGTTTATGCGTACTCTTGGACAACCGTTCATTTTGGAATCTATATAAGGGGTCCTGCGCCCGCCACTTGAACACAAGAGCATGCAATTGCTGTATGTTGTTATCCTGTTCCAATTTGTTCCACGGATTCCTCTTCTGCTTCTGTTTATTTTTTTTTCTCGTTCTTGATTTGTTTCTCTCTTGTTCTTTCGTCGTTTCATTCATTTGCTACTCCTTTTGTTAGTATGCTATGTCCTTTTGCTGCCGCTTGGCTGTAATAACTGCTGAGAGGAGAGCGCATAATCAAACCAGCTGTAATCTTAGAGCAAACTCTCCCTGCCAAGACAAGCACATCAATTGCATTACTCTCTCTCGTCACTAAATAGCCGTGCCTTCGTAAAGGAATGGGTAATGGCACCAGAAAATTGTCATTCTAGAGACTCGAAGGCAATGAATAATTACACTGATTCAAGTGCTGAAATACTTGTCTAATGATTGAGCTTCTGAACCCATCCACTCTATTTGTCGCAAACGAAGCAATTCATGCAATTCATTCTTTGTGCCGAGCTGCTTAAAAAATAATTCGCACAAGTCCACTGGCTCTGTTTCGTTGACAGTCTGCACGCCCTGGTCCCGCATCCTGATGCGCTGTCAACTGGTGGGATGATGTCTGGCCATGTCTGTCTTATTGACATGGTCTGGAAGGCTTTCACTAAACACACACCCTCTGGTGATAAATCACTCAAACAATTTGCAGTCTTATCCCAAACAAAGACCATGGATATCAATGACGTAGTGGGTTGTACAGTTTTACTACTCAAGTGTCTCTTATGAGAAACAGCTGCAGCGATGCATCCTCTGCAACGCCACGCTGGAAAAGGACAAGAAGTCTCCTGCATAGAACCAGCAAATCTGGCCATGACTATCGAGGTCTCTCAATCTCATACAGTAGCATTGTAAACTTATGACGGATTCATGACCAATGATCAAGTGTTTCTTCCATCCACTTCGCAATATCTTTCAATGTCTCGCAATGTTTCACGACTTTTTACAGACCTTATATAAGATGAGAGAAATCGCTGGATAACAAAATGAGATAAACGAGTCTTGATACAGCAGAAACAACCCCTTGCCTTATACAGTGGCTTAAGCACTTTTTTGAATGCCATGGGTCCCATGGTGACCATGATTTCATGAACAGAAACATGTCAATATCATGTCAATGTGCAGAGTGCCGTCCCAGTCCTGGATCTTTGGTTGGTGTATATGCGAGGATCTTGCGGTCCTGGTGAAGGATGTGAAGTAGTCAATTTGCGGCACAAACAGCAAGAAAAGAACAATGTCACAATACACCTGGAACTGGTGTTTATCATCGTTGATCAGTATATTGCAGGGCTTTTATTTGAGCCTTACATGCCTGTCGTCATAAACTCTCATACCATCTCCCATGGCGGTCCGGAAAACCCCAGCAGGCCATCTGCAGCTCATGCTCCAGGAAGTATCTGCGAAGCTCTTGATGTTTTGCCCACTCAAGACTCACATGACAGGAATGACTCACCTATTTCAGATGTTTCAAGCTAGTTGTTCAACTAAAGGCCTCACCCCTGGAGGCCCTGGAGCCTAAAAGTGAAGATGTAAACAAGGGAAACTACTGGACAAAATCTTACTAAATCATCAAGATCTACTCTTCAACACAGCGGCTGGAATTCGACTCAAGCATTTTTTGGGCTCATAGGCTTGAACGAATAGAGGACAGAGGATGACATTCTTCACACACATGTTGTCTGAAATGAAACATGTACAGTTTGTGACTACTTTGGCTTTTTGGTCATCCAAACAAAGGACTTCACCATATGTGTCGACAGTCACTGCTCTTATTGTCCCGCCTCTGCTGCATGATGTTGAACTCAGATTGCATTATTCTGAGTCCCACATTGGTATCAGCCTGTAAGTGAGGCAGGAAAACAAAATCGCAGAAGTGTTGTTCATGAAGCAGAAATATGATAAAACATGTAAATGGGTGTTCCGTATCATTCTGTCTTGTGGGGAGACTACATTCAGCCTGATACCCCTGCTGCAACTGCCCTTCTGATCCGCACAGCATGTCAAGACATACCGTGAATACCAAACCACTTGGGACCACCAGCACAGCTGAAAGTCCTTCCGAACCCTCCTGATGTGACTATATGTGACTCACGACCAAGAAATCTTCAAGCTGTCCACCCATGTCCACCCCATAACATTCACGGTTCTGTTGTCTCTGTGGCAAACTGCTATGGCTGGCCTTTTGAAGGGCTTGCAGATTTGAAATCAATCCACTCGTTGAGAGCGGGTCAAGATTTACCTGTCAGCGCACCATTGATGTCTACGGGATCATCCAACGAGAAGACACCTACGGTAGAGATGTTGGTCAACCCATGGCATGTCACTCAACATGGACATGCGCATGCAACATGTACGATGGGTAGCCGGATCAACGGTAGTCAAAGAGCAAGGTGTTCTAATGCCCAACAAGATCCAACAAGGACAGGATGTTGTTGGCATCACATTTGAACAAACATATCTTGAAACTTTGCAACTGAGAGCTGGAAGACAGGGCGAGTAGGAAAACAGTTTTCTGATTCATGCGGTCTGATTCCACCACTTTCCTGAACACAAGTACATTACTATACTATTATATTAGATTTCAAGTGTTTGCATGTTTACTGTCCAACTTGTAAATTGATGCTCATATCACTACTCCCTTTGTACATCCTAAACATGTACTGTACATTTTTGGCTGCTTAAAACCTTCAGTTTCGGAAAACGCGAAAGTTTGCAATTAAGCATCATAGACCCCCCTGACAGAGGAAGTCAACATAAGAGGGCCAAAATGTACTGGTACATGTTCAGGTCTACGTCTACGCAGTGCAAAAGGGCATATCAAGAACCCTAACAGAGCACAGTATATACATTTTCTGGGTATCCCCCTTGCAATTTGGGGGGGGGTGCTGGGACCCCTGATTCTGTAGAGGGCCCCAACGTCAGGCACCAAAAAACTCTTTACTAAATCAATCTCTGCTCTCCAGGGTAGGGAGTTACCTTCTACAAAATCAAGAACCTTCCACAGCAAAAATATCTGACAAGGAAAATTCATGTTTTCTACAAAATCAAGAACCTCACATGTGAAAGCATCAAAACAAATCAAAAAATATCACTTGTTGAGTTAAAACCTCCAAGGATGATTCTGTAGAGATTTGTGTTAGAGTCGATTCTGTAGAGATGTTTTGTTGATCTTTGATTTTGTAGCATGAATGTGTTTACATGTTTTACAAGTTTTACAAATCCCATCCAAAGTCCCAAAGTGCATGCCTTTGATTTTGTAGCATGAATGTGCTTACAAGTTTTACAAGTTTTACAAGTCCCATCCAAAGTCCCAAGTGCCTGTCTTTGATTTTGTAGCATGAGTGTGCTGGCAAGTTTTACAAGTTTTACAAGCCCCTCCAAAGTCCCAAGTGCCTGTCTCTGATTTTGTAGCATGAGTTTCTTTACAAGTTTCACAAGTCAGTCCAAGATGTCCCAAATGGCCAGCCTTTGATTTTGTAGCATGAGTTCCGTTACAAGATTTTACAAGTCAGTCCAAGATGTCCAAAATGGCCAGTCTTTGATTTTGTAGCACGAGTTCCTTTCCTTTACAAGATTTTACAAGTCAGTCCAAGATGTCCAAAATGGCCAGTCTTTGATTTTGTAGCATGAGTTCCTTTACAAGATTTTACAAGATTTTACAAGATTTTACACGATATGACATTGATGAGCATGCTTTGGCTACAAAATCAAAGACCTTAGGAAGTCACCAGCCTTATTTAAAATCAATCCCCTTCCCAAAATGTAAGGTTTTGTGCACTTCTTGCTCAACGTTGGGGCCCCGATTACAGAATCAGGGACCTAACAAGATACAGTCCAAAAATGTCCAAAATGGTTGGTTTTTGGGTGTTTGCCAGCCCATGGTCCTTGATTTTATAGCTTGGCTGTTTTTAGAAGGCCTCTAACGTATGTCCCCGGCAATATGTCAAGAATTGAAGATAATTATAATGGTTTTCATTACCTTAATTAAAAACAATACTAAATATACTTACTCTTTACAATTCTTTTCAATTATTTTCAAATCTTTTCAATTCTTTCCATTTTTTTCTTACAATTCTTTTCAATTCTTTCCATTTTTTCTTACAATTCTTTTCAAATCTTTTCATTTTTTCAATTCTTTTCAATTCTTTTCAATTCTTTCCATTTTTTCTTACAATTCTTTTCAATTCTTTTCCATTCTTTCCATTTTTTCTTACAATTCTTTTCAATTTCTTTTCAATTCTTTCCATTTTTTCTTACAATTCTTTTCAATTTATTTTCAATTCTTTTCAATTCTGTTCAATTCTTTTCACTTTTTATTACAATTCTTTTCAATTCTTTTCAATTCTTTCAATTCTTTCCATTTTTTCTTACAATTATTTTCAATTCTTTTCAATTCTGTTCAATTCTTTCCATTTTTTCTTACAATTCTTTTCAATTCTTTTCAATTCTTTCCATTTTTTCTTTCAATTCTTTCCAGTTCTTCTGTCAATTCCAAAGAATTGTCCAAAAATAGAAGACTATGAAAAATTGCCGAAAACTTTTGAGAATTGACGAAAAAGAATAGAAATAGATTTCTATTGTTGTACTCCACAAGCGGCTTCTAAAAACAGGTAATTTATAGCACAGTAGGGGTGCAGACTGGCTCTCCAGAATCGAAGGCTTTTGGGGTGTCAACACCCCTGATTCTGTAGAGGAAATTGCAACCAGGATTTCTGGGTTATATTCAATGCACCCCAACAATGTACCATACATACACATTATACGCCTGGAAAATGAATTCTCATGCCTTCCATGAACAACTCACAGCACAGCGCAGCTGCACTGGTTCCATCAGGTTTGCAAGAGCATGTTTTCTTCCAAACTTTCTTCCTAAAAGAGGGGGTGGAATAAATTGTTCCAACACCTTTTGGGGCTACCTGCTGTTCAACATGATGTTTTCTAATGTTTTCTATCTCCCTCCTCCCCACTCTCTTAAAACCCTTTCATCAAGCCTGAAAACACTGTCATGGAAGGGGTATCCAAAAAATGTTCCAAGTCCACTTGGGTAGAGCACCATATAACATTTCTTGATTGCACTGTACATGTTTCGTGTCCCCGGGGTATCCCGGGGTACCTTGCGGCCTTAAGGGGTAGTGTGTGTCTTCCCACCAAATAGCCCCAAATGATGATATTGTTCTCCAAGTTACAACAAGGACGGTCTGTGCTCCGTCCTGTAACGCCTGTCAACGGTAAAGTCTCAAACACAACTTACAAAAGGGATGAGTCGTCATCACTCAACACTACATTTCTTGAATCTTTAAGTAAAAGCAATGACTCATGCAAGAACGTGTGTCAGCTCCGGTTCTGTGAAACCGGCCTGCAATGGACCCCCCACAAATATAAGTACCAAATCATGGATCAAATATATGAAACGGTTCTTCAGTGCTGCTGATGGCCACGATCACTAATTGGTCAACTAATCCATGCTCCCACGCTTCATGCATCATATCATTCAGTGTGCCGCCAAGAGTTGTGAAGTTCATCTTGCCATGGTTCGATAATCTTAGCCAGCTATCAATGCACGACCAATCTGCCCGAGCGCAACAGGAGGCCTTCATAATCGGCGTGTTGGCTACGAAACCACCATCCACAAAGGCCTCGTGGTCTACCTGAATGCTATCCGGCCACCAACCCAAAGCGAGAGCTCTGCTCCCACCGCCCGATGGCCTCCATAGGATAAATAATCGGCGCAATGGCCCCTGATGCCTGCACAGGTTCACAGCTTCACAGGTTCAGCAGAGCTGTAGACATCTGACATCCCAACACGGTCCGGAGACAGCCTCGCAACCCTGAATGATCGTGTCCGAATTCTCATCCCACCTGGCAGGTGAAAGGCAACCAGGGATAAGTGACCAGTTGAGCTTCAGTAGTAAAGCACTTTGTTTCAATCACAGGACAGGGTACCACTTGGCTTGCCCAGTCTTGAGAGATGTGGCAACAACCCGGAGCATCATGCCAGAGCTTCCTAGCGATACACCGGGATAGTGAAGATGTACATAGAAAAGAACAGGTCCCCTTGGCAAGTATGTTGCTAAATGTTTCTCCTAACTTTGCCTGATGCACCTCATGTAGACAGAGTTGCCAACACAGTCACTGAGTCACTTTTCAGTGCACAAATCATCAAATAAAGTTCCACCCAATATATGATTCACTGAACTATACACAGTTTGACGTCATAATTGCCACATCCACGAAATTCCACTAGCATCCCAAAAGAACCAAAAGAGTCAATTGACGATCCAAGCTGATCCAAGGGTCGAATGCGATCTTTCTGCACCGCGAATTCAAAGGCATTGCGCCCAGGCACTGGGTCACACAAACCTCCACGTCGGTAAAAGGCCAGTGCCTGGGAAACGGAGGCTGCAAGTCCTCTGCATATTGTCCTCTCGAAGCGACCAAATCCAACCAATTCATATTAGGAATATATTAGGAATATATTAGGCACACAGGATCATACAGGATCCTTCTTCATTGTCAATCTGGCCATCTTGTGACTCTCCAGATCCATCATGATCCATCGCACATGTTTCTGTGCCGTGATGTGCCAGGGCGAGGCTTGGGGATACCTGCCCCACCGGCGCACTGATTTGGTAGCCGGGTTCCCAGCCATGGACATAATCCTCGACGAAGTCATGCATGGCTCACCTAACGGATCATGAAGGCAGGAAATATGCCAAACAAATCCAAAGAATGCCAAATAAACGATAAGGATCGATAAGGATCGATAAGGATCGATCAGGAATAACGGCACCAGCCAACCAAAGTTGTGGCAAAGGTGATCCAAAAGAAAGTTGCGTCAGCCAGAAGCACAAATTGATACAAATTGGCTATAGCCAGCTAGCCTCCTTTGGTGAGAAGAATGCTGCACAATTGCACATGGGGTTGGGATTCAATGGTTCAAGTGTCTGGAAGCCCAATCTCTACTAAAATGATCAAAAAATGGTTCAGCACAGTGTCAGAGCAAAGACATGTTGGAGCTTCAATGGGTTGATTTCAACAGAGCTTCGCAGAATGTGGAAGAGAAACAACATTCGCGCTTACGAGTCTATAGCATGGTCACACATTTCTCCAACCGGCTCCAACCCTCCACAACAAGTGACGATTCTTGACAGGGTCAGGAGATGATGGTTCCTTGGTGCTTAAGTGGCACGCACTGAATTTTCACCAAACTTTCACTCTGCTGTACATTCTTACTATTTCTGTGTTTCAACAAACACAAATGGGGTCTTGTAAAAACCCCGAGCCCTTTCAAATTGTGTTTTTTTTCCACAAGTTATCGTTTTTTTCCTCTTATCGTTTTTCCAAGAGCTGGCTTCACACCTTGACCAAAGGATTCACATGAGCGAGGAAAGGGAAAAGGAAAAGGAAGAGTAAAGGAAGGGAAAGGAAAGAATAGGAAAGGGAGAGGAAGAGGAAAGGGAAAGGAAAGAGAAAGGAAAAGGACAGGAAAACGAAAGGACATGAAAAGGAAAAGGACAGGAATAGGAAATGAAAAGGAACAAGGAAAAAAAAGGACGGAAAAAAGGAAAGGAGAAGGAAAGGGAAGGGAAAGGAAAAAGGAGAGGAAAGGGAGAGGAAAGGGAGAGGAAAGGGAGAGGAAAGGGAGAGGAAAGGGAGAGGAAAGGGAGAGGAAAAGGGAAAAACAGATAAAAAAAGGCCGTGTCTCACTGTCTCAAATGGACAATTTTTGATGCCAAAAGTTATTGTTTTCGTTATCGTTTTGTTATCGTTCGTGAATCCTCTGTACGTTCCTTTTCTCTGGAAATGGCTGCAATCATCAACCTAACGTTCAACATCGTTCAACGTTATCGTTTTGTTTCCTCTTATCGTTTTTTGGAGTGAAAGCAAAACATGGCTCATGGGGGATCATGGAAGACTAAACGAATAGGCGCGGGGTTTTTACAAACTCCCAAATGGTTCATCACTTTGAAAATCCCACCCTTTATATCCTGCATGTACAACATCAATGTGACTGCACCATCTGCATCTACTGATTGCCATGATCTGTAATGATGACAATTCTGCTGTTATCAATTAGATCCACAACACACTGACCGAAATACCGAAACACCCTTTACCTGTTCTTCTTTCTTTGATCTCTCTTGAATCAAAGCCACTGCCAAATCAGAAGATACCCAGACCTCAGTGTCATAGTCTCCACACAACAATGTGTGACGTCATCCTGATGTCAAATTCGTTTCATCCCTATCCCTATGTATCAAAATGTGCTTACTGTAGGTGAAGAAAGGTTGCCCTATCAAAGAACAGGAGTATGGCAAGCATGCTTGACATAGACCCAAAGCAAATCGCCACGCTTGCTGAGACACAGTGGGAATGGATGTCATAATTGGGAATCAATATGTTTGAACCAAAATCACAGGGCGTGAGCAGTTTAGAATGTACTGTGTGCAACCGGGTCACATCTTCAGGCGCCTCCATTCAAGCAGTGCAAGTGACACCAAAAAAATCAATGGGGCACACAAGACCATGAATTTTGCAACATTAATCAAATTTGAGGAGTAAATCGACCTCGTGGCTACATTGCCGATTATGGTGGAGAGAAACATCAGAAAACTTCACATTGAACTGATTTCAATTGGGTCATCTATGAGTATACACTGGTATACAATGTTTGAAATTGTCTGAATGTCTTGAAATTGATTTGGTATGTTGTTTTATTCTATTTGCTACTGTATGATTTGTTGTGATTGGTTGACGTGACATGAAAGGAAACTAAGAATATCACGTTGACCCCAATTCCACCAGGCCTTGATGCTATCCCAGAAGCTTTGAGCCGCTGCCAAGGCCTGGTTTTGGCACATTGGAACGATTGGAACGGCGAATTGACACACTTTGGCATCAAGATTCGGCATGGTTTTCTCCTATGGTTGTGTTGTTTTCTCCAAGTGTCAAACCTATTACTAGTGTATGCAAGTATCCCGCCCTGAAGTTGAGCCAGCAAAAGGTAGGTGCCATTGTGGCCTCCCAAACATCCCAACATCGGCAGAGTTTTTTCTGAGCCAAGCTTTGTCACGGTCAGACGTGATTCGTGCTGGCGAAAATGGCCCGGTACTGCCCAGCTAGATCTGCTTGGTTCGTGGTGGCATCGGGAAATATTTGCTCACTCGCTTCCTCGGCTCAATAATAAGGGCGAATAGGTGATACCTAAATTCAGACATTTCCATGGCTCTAGATCCTCTATGCACAAGACATATATACATATATATTATAGTGACATAATCCTCCTTGCACCTGATTACAACCTATTACAAACACGTATATATATATATATATATTGGGCTCTGCCTCGTGACACTAACAGTGACCACAATTCATACCACACAAAAAAGCACAAAAAAAATCAGGTTGTAGTCCCCAATATGACTTTCATTTCCCCTTATTAAGGCTAGATGACCAGGCATGTTCCCTGCAAGTTGGCTCCACGGTCGGCACATTTTCTTGCCGTGCCCAGAAGTCCTTGCTGTCAAAATTCGACATTGGCATTTCCAATGGGGTGCCTCATGCATCCAGCTTGTCAGCACCTTGTGGGTAGTGATGCTGCTGATTGCAAAGCAATATTGTTTAGGGTTTTGGATGCTGCCCATTGCAGCGATGATGGCAAAGCAATACTGTTTAGGGTTTCGGATGCTGCCCATGGCAGCGCTGATGGCAAAGCAACGCTGGTTAGGGTTTAGGATGCTGCCCACCACAATGCCGATGGCAAAGTAATGCTGTTAGGGTTTAGAATGTTGCCCATCGCAGCGCCGATAGCAAAACAATAGAATGTGTGTGTACAATACATATAAAGGCCGGGGCTGCTGGACTGACCCTGGGCAAGGCCTGGGGGCTGAGCCTGGGGGCTGAGCCTGGGGGCTCGGGAACGCTGGCGGACTAGAGGCCTGGCGGGCTGGCTGGCTGAGGGGGGGCCTGGAGCTGGGCCGGGCTGGCCAATTGAAAATGCTTTAAAAGCAGCGACTTTCCGAAAGCAGAAAAAAAACAGAAAAAAACAGAAAAAAACAGAAAAAAAACACCAAAAAAAGCAGAAACTGGCGCAGGAAAAAAAGGAAAATGACTTTGTTTTTTTTGTGCTTTTTTTTGTGGTATGAATTGTGTTTTTTTTTGTGTTTTTTTTTGTGGTGTGAATTGTGTTTTTTTTTTGTGATTTTTTTTGTGGTATGAATTCTGGTTTTTTTGTGCTTTTTTTTGTGGTATGAATTGTGTTTTTTTGTGTGTTTTTTTTTGTGGTATGAATTGTGTTTTTTTTGTGTTTTTTTTGTGGTATGAATTGTGTTTTTTTTTGTGCTTTTTTTTGTGGTATGAATTGTGGTTTTTTTTGTGCTTTTTTTGTGGTATGAATTGTGATTTTTGTTGTGCTTTTTTTTGTGGTATGAATTGTGGTTTTTTTTGTGCTTTTTTTTGTGGTATGAATTGTGGTTTTTTTTGTGCTTTTTTTTGTGGTATGAATTGTGTTTTTTTTTGTGCTTCTTTTTGTGGTATGAATTGTGGTTTTTTTTGTGCTTCTTTTTGTGGTATGAATTGTGGTTTTTTTTGTGCTTTTTTTTGTGGTATGAATTGTGTTTTTTTGTGGTATGAATTGTGGTTTTTTTTGTGCTTTTTTTTGTGGTATGAATTGTGTTTTTTTTGTGCTTTTTTTTGTGCTTTCTGGCAATTGAAAACAAATTAAACAATAGTTTCCCTTCGCAATTTCAAGGACGAACGGGCTGGAAACGCGCATGATTTGTGGTTTTTTTTTGTGCTTTTTTTTTGTGGTATGAATTGTGTTTTTTTTTGTGCCTTTTTTTGTGGTATGAATTGTGTTTTTTTTTGTGCTTTTTTTTGTGGTATGAATTGTGGTTTTTTTGTGCTTTTTTTTGTGGTATGAATTGTGGTTTTTTTTGTGATTTTTTTTGTGGTATGAATTGTGTTTTTTTTGTGCTTTTTTTTGTGGTATGAATTGTGGTTTTTTTTGTGCTTTTTTTTGTGGTGGTATGAATTGTGGTTTTTTTTGTGCTTTTTTTTGTGGTATGAATTGTGTTTTTTTTTGTGCTTTTTTTTGTGGTATGAATTGTGGTTTTTTTTGTGCTTTTTTTGTGTGGTATGAATTGTGTTTTTTTTGTGCTTTTTTTTGTGCTATGAATTGTGTTTTTTTTTGTGCTTTTTTTTGTGCTCGGGAGCGCCGGAAAAGCACAAAAAAAAGCACAAAAAAGCACAAAAAAAGCACGAAAAAAGCACAATTTCTTTGGAAAAAATGAATCTCAGGCCACCTGGCCTCGACAGCCTTCGGACCAGCGGCCCAGCAAATGTCTCACACCATTTCCTTTTTTCCAACCTCCTTTCCAAAAAAAACTCTCAAGAGTGAGCCCATGCCAGGAGCGGGAATGTGAAAAAAATGTAATTATCATATGATGTTTATTAAGAACCTCAACAACTATTGTTGGAGGCACGCCTTTGTAACGCTTTTCACTTATAACTTACAATGGTTGGACCGTTTGATTGCAGTGTCTCGGTATCTCAGGTATGCTGCATTCAATATTGTAAAGAATGTCATGAGTCATAATATCGTATCATCATATCGATGCAACACCTTGCATCATCATACCAAATCATTGCCATTGCTATTTGACACACAAATATTCAGATAAACAAAATGATGTCAGCTGTCAGACTTCCCAGAACCATTCCAACGTTCCAACCATCAAAGGATATCAACAGCAACATCGATACTTTGATTTTTTGGCTAGTTGATGACAAGTTCAGCAAACATGTCCTGATGGCTCCAACAATATGGCGCAATACAAAAGGATGTTCGTTAAAATGATTTAAATGGTTTAACCACAAACAATGCCACCTCAAAGGTAGTGATGTTGTTGCATTCACTACTCCACCCTTTGTTACTTGTACGGCCCACCTAGATCACATCTTCTCCTAAGCAGACCCTAAGGATCCCCTAAAATGGCCTGAGTTACCACCAATATGATTGTGCTTTTTTGGTATGTGGTTTATGAAGGGGGGGCAGTTTTGAACTGTTAGTGGGCGGGGGCAGACCTCAATATATATAAACTGTATATACAAACTGTATACATGTATATATACAGTATCTGTACCAAGCGTACTCAATCAGGGTAATACAGGACATGTGGCTATAGTTGAATCATTTCAAGTTGAGGTGCTGATAGTTGACGTATTCCGGATACTTGTTGGAAGACAATGCTTCAGTGATATCCAGTGATGCTCCAGGAAGCAGAAAGAGACCTGTGAGGAAAATGACGCCCCAAATCGTCCAGTTGAAATAGGATCCAGTCGGAGTGATGCTGAAAAGATAAAACACCTCAGCTGAATTCCACACCACCCCTTCGGAAAAGTCAGGAGCAACGTCTTCTGGTCGAAACACAGCAAACAGAACTTGATGTTTCAAGGAGTGCAAGGGTTGACAGTCCATGCAAAGTAGGATACTTCTCCGATGTTTTTTTTCATCAGAATGGCAGTGCAGGATTGGTATGATGCAGGGTTTCTTGGGTGCCGTTAACTAATTAATTACACAGTTTGCTGTGCATCTTAAGCTTAGGTTCTTTGATTTCTTTGGGCATCCTGACAAGAGACCCACCACATGGTCACTTCGCAGAAGTAGTTGGGATGCCGACATAGACCCCAAAGGCCAGTCTGAATGAAGCCATCTGCATACTCGCCCATGTCTTCCTTGCGGGGAGAAAATCCGTTGAACCCAAGCTTTTCCTGCCTCAAGATGTTTGCTTGTAGCATCTTGTAGCTAACTCAAGGCTTCAACTTGCATGCACATCAGGGTTGCTTAAAGATCCGCTGTAGCTAGAAACCAAAGCAGTTGGATTTCATAATATTGAAACTTGAGCTCCCAGAAGCTTCAACACCGTCCCATTCCCGACATGGAGAAATGTGGATAAACATGCAATCACATGCAATGCCCGGTCCTTAGCAGCCTTTCGTCGATATTTCTCACTTTGAAAAGCAAACATCTGTGCATCAGCGACTGCTTCACCCAGCACGAGCAACAAAAAGAGCGCCGTGGCCACACGGTCCAAAGCACTCAGTGGGGCGTCACTTTGCCTGCCGGTGTGAGATCGGTGGGGTTGGCGCAAGGGGAAAAAAGTCTTCAACAAAAAACAGAAAATGAGTAATTTTATGCATAAACACTAGCCTGACGATGCCTGACGAACTTTGATTCAGAAAAAAATGTTGTGGCAAACGAACATCGAAGAGAATTCCTTTGAGTCTGCAGACTCAACTCGCATCCGCATGCCACTTGTTGGAAGAAAACCATGCCAAATACAAGACATCCCCAAGGGAAATGCGCAAGTAAAGTTTTTTTTTTTTTTTTACGGTTAGTCAAAATATGTCAAAATCAAAACATCCATCTCAGCTAAGCATAGTAGGAAGATTCATTGCAGCCACAGCGGGGACAGTGAAGGCCATCACGGCGCACTGCTGAAAGCAGCCTGAGTTGCTGGTGCTGAAAATTTGCCATAGCCGAAGGATGTTGCTTTTGCACCTTGTGTTCTTATCAATGCAAGTTATATAGTTGTACTTGTGATGATTGTATTTTCTTTAAACAAAATGCCATATGCTACGATATGCTACGATGCAACATTTGTCAAAGTAATGGACTGCTAGAAACCAACCACTCACGACCTCTAATTTGACACCATGCAGTTCAAGCAAACAAAATTGAAAAAAACATGACATGTATCCTCCGAGCAGTGTCCACAGGGAGCATCAAAGCCCAAGAAACAAATAAAGACCAAATTGAAGAGCTCCCAGCGCCATCCAGGATACCAAATACGAATGACAGCCCAGCGGTAGTCCTCTCCACCACTGAAACCACCCTTGATGTAAAAGTTGTAGGTCAGCCTCGGGTCAAACATTTGGGATGTATCAGTGATAACATGCAACATATATCGTATAATTACACAAATTTACATAATTGTAAATTGGGTGCAGAATTGTTTTTGGTATTTTTTTTTACAGTTTTGGATTTTTTTTTGGGGTTCGTGCCTCTTCAATTTTTCCATGGTTTTCTTCAATTTTTCCATGGTTTTCTTCAATGTTTCCATAGTTTTCTTCAATTGTTCCATGGTTTTCTTCAATTTTCCATGGTTTTCTTCAATTTTCCATTGTTTTCTGCAAGTTTTCCATGGTGTTCTTCAATTTTTCCATTGGTTTCTTCAATTTTTCCCGGGTTTTCTTCAATTTTTCCATGGTTTTCCAATGGTTTTCTGCAAGTTTTCCATGGTTTTCTTCAATTTTTCCATAGTTTTCTTCAATTGTTCCATGGTTTTCTTCAATTTTCCATCGTTTTCTGCAAGGTTTCTTTGGTTTTCTTCAATCAATCAATCTATATATATATATATGTATGTGTGTATGTATGTATGTATGTACGTAGGTAGGTAGGTAGGTATGTATGCATGCATGCATGTATGTATATGCAGGGTGTGGTTTAGGGTTTAGGGATACAACATGTAATTAGGTATAATTACATGATTATTTGTTGTTTATTTTGGGATCAAAGTTGTGTATAAAAACAACCACAAATATGTCATATATATATATATGTATACGTCTGTATATCTATAAGTAAATATGTATGTGTATTTATAATATATATATATATCTTATAGTTATATAATTAAATAAATATATATACATTGATATGTATATACATATTAATATGTATGTATATATATATATATACATTTATATAAGTACATTAATATATATATATATATAAGTGTATATATAAATGCAAATATATACATATACATATACATATATATATATATGTATACGTGTGTCTATATATATATATATATATATATGTCTAGATATATATATATATAATTTTTAACAAAATATTAATATAGTCGAATCAAACAAGTGTATTGAAAAGTGTGCAAGTTTGAATTTAAATAATTAAAAAAAGCGGGAGGGGGGGGATTGGGGGGAGGGCGCAGCGCCTCCCCGCCAAAGCAGATTGGAAACACCTATTTTACATGCAAGGTGCTGGGTTGAATGTGATACTCAAGGTGTATAGACTACACGACATGCACCCTGGAAACATGTGGAATACAGTACATATACTTATAGATACATACTTCTTTATATATATATATACATTTATATGATTTATATGTATATACATATGAATGTATATATATATAGGTACATAAATATATATTTATATGTAAATATAAATATATAAAAATAAATATATAAATATAAATATAAATATATAAAATATCAATATGAATATGTAAATATAAATATATCAATATAATATATATTTAAGTGTATATATACATGCATAAATATAAATATATAAATATATTTACATATATATGTATATATATGTAAATATATATATATGTAAATATATATGTAAATATATATATATGTATATATATATGTATATATATATGTAAATATATATATATATATGTAAATATATATATATGAATTTGAACATAAATAGTAATAATATGTATATATAAAAATATATATATATAAGTAGAAAATATAAATAATATAAATATATCTAGATATAAATATACAAGTGTGTATATAAATGCATATATATATATATATATATACATATATATATATATGTAAATATATATATATTATGATTTTAATTTAAACATAAATATATATATATGAATATAGTCGATTCAAACTAGTGTATTGAAAAATGTGCAAGTTTGACATACTAAAAATACCACCAAAAGCCATGGAAAGCAAGCCAAAAGCCAAAAGCAAACAAGCAAAAAGCAAAAAAGCAAAAAAGCAAAAATAACAAAAAGCAAAAAAACAAAAAGCAAACAAGCAAAAAAAGCAAAAAAGCAAAAACGCAAAAAATCAAAAAAAGCAAAAAGCAAAAAAGCACAAAAGCAAACAAGCAAAAAAGCAAACAAGCAAAAAAGCAAAAAAGCAAAAAAAGCAAAAAAAACAAAAACGCAAAAAAGCAAAAAAGCAAAAAAAGCAAACAAGCAAAAAAGCAAAAAAGCAAAAAAAAAAAAAAAAGAAAAAACGCAAAAAAGCAAAAAAGCAAAAAAAGCAAACAAGCAAAAAAAACAAAAAAACAAACAAAAAAGCACAAAAGCAAAAAAGCAAAAAAAAGGAGAAAGCAAGATAAAACAAGAAACCCAAAAAAAAATCCAAAAACGTAAAAGAAAAAAAATCCAAAAAAAAATAGGCCTCCACTAAAAAATCATATCAGAATCAATAAAATACGAGGATTTAAACACCTATGTACTGGAAAGTTGGTGCAAATAAACCTGCTTTGCTTTCAGATGGAGTTTTGTTTGCAGCCGAGCAGCCGCAATCCCCAAATGGTGGCTAGCAGGGTCATGATGAGCAGCCTGAAGGGTTTCCCATGGTTTCCCGCCAGCAGTTGGTCTTGCGATCCAAGCAAGTGCTATCTGCATCCCTGACCCTGATTATTAATGAACAGGGGACTCAACACCAATGTCACCAAATGCCGTCAGTACGTTCCGGCTCTACTGCACACGACTGAAGCAACCTGTAGTAAGAGGAAGAGTGCATTGACCTGTTCAAACCTACTTCAAATGGACTAATGACATGGACCACAAAAATACAAAAAGACGAGATACGACGAGTAGACATTGAGTCAGCATATCTAAGGTTGCTTTTCAGGTTGCCGTAGATGGCCCTAAGCAGTCTGCAAAGTGGTCCAGGTTTCAAGCCAACGGTGGGCCTGGAATTGAGACCGCTAGATAAGGACGAAATGAACCAATGCCAGGTGTAGACCTGAGAGGATCAAAGTGGATGTCACCTTGAAACTCCATGAAATTCCAAACAAACTCAGGCGCAGAATTCTTCAAATGGAGAGAAGATGAGAGAAGTATAAGAAGTTTCACATTGACTGGTGCCCTCCTCCGAAAAGGAAGAGAATCAAAACACACCTGTGGTCTACAGTTGCTTCATGTTGCTTCAACTATACTTGTACGGCAAAAACGTGGGAAACTATGATGGACCACAAACCACAAACGGCATGATGGACCACAAACGGCATGTAGGGGCCAAAACACCCACGGCATGATGGACCACAAACGGTCCACGATTGAAGGATCCGATGTCCCACTGCTGGGAATTCCACGAAGAGAGTACCTGAGATGGCCCCGTGGATATTGAAATTACATGAAATTACTGTAATTCTGGCAAGGTCTTAGCGCAATAGTTGATTATCTCATGCATGACAATGAGTGTTGGGGTTCTACCTGGAGAATGCATTTGTGCACTTGTGCATCTTGCAATGTACGATCCTTTCACCAATTATCGTTCGAAGTGAATGGAAGCAATGTTGGAACTCTAAAACTGTCACGCAGAAGAGTTGCTCTTTGTTTCATGGTTGGCACAGGGAATGCCCACAGGCAAGACAAATGTTCATTCATGTACAGGATTACAGGATGACATGATGCTTCAGAGTTTACCAGCATCCACAAGGTCTGAGAGAGATATATCTAGGACTGACTCAAGATTGGATAGGGCACGCTGGGGCCAAACTGAGACCTTTCCTCTTTCCAAAGAGGTGGAAAACTAGTAACTAGACAGTGGTGGACAAGTACTATACTCAAAATAAAGGAACATCGCACCAAAACATTGTCTGATACAAAATCAGGGCACAGCCATGTTGTCAGTGCCAAAGCATCCACCAAAATCACAGTCCGGCCCCAGGCATCGAACTCCCAAGGACGCAGAGCGCATGTGAGCCTTATCAGCTGGAAGGCTGGAAGTGATAGGGCGACGTGTTCAATTGATTTCAATATTTCAAGTTTGCATCAGCATCAAGAGCCAACAAGCCTCCTCTTTCAGTATTGTTGCTGCAATATGCTGCAATGCTCTGGTCATCTGATCCACATGTTTGTACAAGCCGGGCCGCGGCTGTTGTAGGCATTCGTTGGCGGAGGTGAAGGACCAAACGTAGTGCAAGGTCGACAGTTGAACTACTGCACCTGGAGTCAACTGCCACAGGCACACCAGGGGTCCCCAGGGATCCCCACAAGAGTGATTGCTGTGAACTGGGATCAGTGATGATCAGTGCCCCAGGCTGGGCCACCAGCCATCACCAGCCTGTCAACGCCAAAGGCAACGGCACAGCGTCTGGCACTTTGAGCAGTTCCGTGGACCCTGTCTTCGTTGTCATGGCGGCTCACAGGCTCACAGCTGGCAAGATCTGGCAAGCTTGTCTTAGGATTACTTAGGATGTCAAAGGTGCAGTTGTAGTTATGGTATGTTATGGTTGGATAGAGATTCAAAGTATTTCAAAGTCTGGTTTTATTGCTGTTTTCATGATCTAAGATCCAGCAAGGGGACTGTGAATCTTTATCTCCGATTTGATAGCCCATAAATATTACGTTAATTACTACCATCTGACAAGTTTCAGCAAGTTGACAACGCTCGCACGATTTAAGCGTCCCTCAAAATCATAAACTGCTCGAAAAAACATCTTGCATTCTGAGACCTCATCCAGGTCTTCGGACAAGTTTCTTTTTGGTCATCAGCTTGGGCCAAAACATGAGTATGTTCAATGTCATGCTAAAACATTTAAAACTCTCAAGACCTGGGTCTCTGCACCACTGCAAAACCCTGCAGGATGAACATTGTGAACGCTGTTAAAACTGTTAAAACACATCTAACATCTACCTACCAGGTCCATGTTAACTAGTCCATGTGATTGGAACAACTACGGTAATTAAATGACCATGATCCATGACATCAGCTCGCATTATCAAATTTGCATTGTTTTCAACCAAAATCACTTGTATATCCTGTATTGTCAACAAATTGTCACTTATGCATGTTCTTGGCTAGTCTTGACTCTCTCTTTAGGTTTCGCGTGGATATGCTTTGTGCTTCCAACTCGATGACTGTTGTTTACACTTGCAGCCCAGCCTTTGAGCATTGAGCTCCTGGGGGAAATTGCGCCAGTGCACCGGCGTTCATTGCACCAAAGCTGGTGCCCACGATCATGGACCAATTTCTGCGGCATCAGGACGCTGAAACAAGGAATGATCCGAAATTCAAAGAGTTCTGTTTGACGATTCAAGTCACCAATTTCCATTTTATTAAGGCTGTCAAAGGTAAGCAACATTGGAACAATTCACATCCTTATTGCCTTATTGCTCGAGTAGAAGCAACCCTTTCACAACTCTCTGAGTCGTTGCCGGACCACCGAAACTCATTCTTGATAATTATTCAAGGCGTTCAACGTCCATGTTCATCTGGTTATATCATGTTATATAATGTTATATATAATCTGGTTGGTCAGTCGACTGACCATCAACTCTAATCTAATCCCCCTTGGCTTGGCGCACCTCAAATGGTTTAACGAATTGTTTTTGCAAATTCCTTCCAGCACTCCCAGCTCGAAAGCGCCCTGGCGAGGAAATCAGGTCGACTTACAGTGGCTTTAGGTGCTTATCCGCACGGATTCCAGGCACAGACACCAGGTTCCGTCTAAAACGTGACATACGATGCAAAGTATGCAGAGAACTACTGAAGATTGCGGTGTACAAACATGTACAGACTATATATTAGGTCTCGTGTTCCGTGTTCCTAAGGGGGGTTGGAACGCTGGACCATATATATACATATTTACATGCAAAGATTTGTATTACCCACAACATGGGCAAAGAACCACGAACCAATGGGTACTTTGCAAGTGGTAAATGATGGTGGGCACGTTATTGAGGTATATTGAGGTAGAGTCCTCTGAGCCCAATGAATCATGGTGATGATGATGTTCTGCCCATCTTTGAGGAACCGTTGGTATGTCTGGCGCGCCTTTGCACCTCCGCCGGAAAGCACTAAGGCTGTGAAGTTTCCTTTGCCTTTCACAGGATGATCTCTGCCAAAACCTGCGCATAGCAACAGGCAGCAAATGTGATTATATAGGTTTCCCTTGCTTTCTAGCTTTTTGATATTTTTTTGTGAGACTGGCATTTGCATGATTCAACCTTGAATGAGAATTAACACAGCTATAGCACTTCTCAGGTCAAAATGTTCTACCCCTTTTCTCTGCCACGTGCATCTCACATCTCACCTTGTGCTGTGGGCTTTTCGGGCTTTTGGGCCCATTCATGTGGAAGACATTGCCCATTGACCGAACACCTGGGATCGGTCCACGGAGGTGAAGTTCACATAAAAGTGCCATTTCGTGCCACCTGTCACTTTGGTACCCCAAATCCCCATAAATCCCATGGTTTGTCATCATGTTCATTCATTCTCCGCGTTCAAACATATTCAGACACATATTCAGACACATATCCAAACATGTCATTAGGAGGTACAGTATCCGTCATGCTGAGACGAACCCAGTGGCCCATATGTGGTATACCCTGCACCCATGACCGAGGTGCTGATCCGCGCGGCACACGCACGAGCCCTCGACGCATTCGGCGTTGCGCCAATCCTGAAAGATGTCACCAGCGAAAGGAAGCTCTCATTTCCTCAAATTGATCCAATACGTTCCAATAGTTCCAATACTAAGATAGGGTGTATCTCTAATTCCACTCCACAAAATGTGATTTTGTGCTAGTAGCAGCAACAAGTGCACACAGTACACACATCATTCATCATCATTCTAAGTCTTTTAAGTATTGTCACTTGGCTTACCTCACAACAGAGTGCTAGGCTTCCGAACTGCGCAGCCAAAGAAGTAACAGGAGCCGCCAGTATCTTGTGTGCAGCTGTCTCCATCCAAACCTGCTTTGGACTGCTGCCCAGCCGACGCAGCTAGTAGGTGATCAGCGATTGTAGCTGTGTCTGGTTCATTGATATGAGCCCATTTTGATTGCAAACAATTCAGGTGTGTAAGGGCTAGTGGAGATGACATTATGTCAGCAACACAGTTGAAAGACGTCCCAAAGCACAGCAAATCCAAGTAGTCAACCGGCACATGCCGCAGCCTGCAGGCTTTCTGGGGCCAAATGAATCCCTGTTCTCCGCCTGTGGAGCGAATAGCAAGAACGCGTTCATTGATTGTCGCAACTAACTTGCATGACAAAATAAATCATTACTTTGTTGCAGTTATGTCATGTATTCTTAGTGTCTTCGCCTATGTTTCTGGGGATTTGCCTGCCCGCACATTGAAACCAGAAAACTAACAAACTGGCACGACTTACATGCATGTTTCCACTGTGTCTTCCTAGCCCTTGCACCGCGTTTTTCTCAGTCTTCGGTCTGGAAGGTCTGCACATCCCAGCGACACGAGTTGGAGGTCAGCAGCCAACTATACAGTTTGTCCCTGTACAAATTCGCTGTACAACCTCTGACCTGCAGGCCAAACCCCTTGGTCCGTTGAAAACCAGTTGCTTTCGAACAAAAAGAGACGGACCAGGGCTATCCTTTTTGCGGAAGTCCTGCCAAGAATCATCACACTTCCAAGATCTGCCAAGATCTATCCACTTCCTATGAATCTGGTTTTCATGTAAATGCCATGCTTAAACTATATCGACCACATAGTAGCTGCACCGGGTAGAGGATCAAAAAGGACATGTTGCAGGAAAGGTTGTTAATGAATGAAGTATCATAAAAATATTATAAAATATTGCAGTCAGACTTGGCAATCAAACAAATCATTGCCTTGCATACGGCATACAGCATACATCAGCATGCACTGTCGAGTACCGAATGAGTAGTGACCTTAACTGATTAACTGTTGAGGTCCTCCTCGATGCACACTACTCGTTGGCACTAACGCCCCCACGCAACACATGCGCAGCAGACGCGGCAGTTGTGGCGACACTATCCGATACCACGTTGTTTTGTGGCAAAGCCAGCCTCAGTGGGTCGAGTGGGTCAGGTTCACTGGAATATTTAACTGCTGTCTCTCCCCATGTTGTGATCATGACAAGGATGCAAAAAGACAGATCTCGACGGTCTGAAATTCAAATTGCAAGCAGCTCAACTAGCTCCGACTCTGGGTATTCCTTCGGATAGACCACAGTTCCCTTCCTCAGTGGCCATAAGCGATATCTACATCAAAATGTCAGACAATTTAGTGCGACTTTGAGATATGTGGCGCTCAAATGAAGGATCAAAAAATAGAAAACATTCTGAGCGTCGGTACTCGGTGCAAACTTGAGAGGGGGAGGACGAAAGGTAGCTGGGGGCGTATCTCTCAACAACTTTTTGCGTTCATTCTGTTTCAATATATATCGAACTTTCCCTTCCCCCTAGGTGCCTCTCAATTTCCTGCATCCATTTCGTTTCATACGTAGACTTCCCCTATTGGCCTCCCCGCCACTTCTTACGTTTTTTCCGAACTTCCCCGGCATCAACAACTTCTTGCGTGCATCTTGTCTCAATATCTAAATTCCACCCACCCCGTGCCATAGTCAGTACTAAGAACCACAAGCAGGATAATGCTAGTCAGTTTGTTGGCAACCTATGTGAATTAAGGGGCCAAGGTGCCTCAACCGATCGACGCTCGGTTGAGGCACTTTGCGTGTAGGCCTTTATGGATGTAACCTTCAGGCACTTTGCGTGTAGGTCTTTATAGATGTAACCTTTACGCGGCTAAGTGCGTGAAGATGTCTGAAGCAAAAACAACATCAACAATTGCAGGAGACGAAGCCGTCCTTGTGTTTCGTGGAACTATTAAAAGGCTTGCGGCTCAGCGATAAGTGTCGCTGCGAAGGGACATACTGCTATTGTTTTCTTATCTAACATGAGCATTGTCCATGACCTGTGAAGAACATCGAATGGTCCCGTAAAGTATTCCAGTTGGAGCATGGAGCTCAGCTGCGTGTCTGTGATGCGCGTAGAGCATCGAATTGCTTCTTATTGCGAAGAAAGTTAAAGGACCGCATAACCCCACAAGTCAACTTCTTCCAATAATGATCAACAAATTTTGCAGCGGGGACGGGGAAGGAAGGAAAGACAAAGGAGGAGGTGGAGGAAAAATGGTTTGTGACAAAGTTGTGTGTGTGAAAGATGGTGTGGTGAAAGATGGTGTGTGTAAGATGGTGTGTCAAAGATTGTGTGTGAAAGATGGTGTGTGACAAAGTGGTGTGTGAAAGATCATGTGTCAAAGATGGTGTGTGACGGTGTGTGAAAGATGGTGTGTGGCGAAGTGGTGTGAAAGATGGTGTGTCAAAGATGGTGTGTCAAAGATGGTGTGTGAAAGATGGTGTGTGAAAGACGGTGTGTGACAAAGTTGTGTGTAAGATGGTGTGTCAAAGATTGTGTGTGAAAGATGGTGTGTGACAAAGTGGTGTGTGAAAGATCATGTGTCAAGGTGTGTGACAAAGTGGTGTGTGAAAGGTAGTGTGTGTGTGAAAGTTGTGTGTGAAAGAGAGGGTGTGACAAAGTTGTGTGTGAAAGATGGTGTGTGACAAAGTTGTATGAAAGATGGTGTGTCAAAGATGGTGTGTGTGAAAGATAATGTGTGAAACATGGTGTGTCACAAAGTGGTGTGAGTACCCAAGCGGCGTCCACGGCGCCAAATCCACCCCAAGCGCGCCACCAGAGCCAGCCGAGTGCCATAAGAGCCACGCCTGCCACACAAAGTGGAGGTGTCGCCAAGTGCCACGCCTGCCACGCAAAGCGACGCTCGATGTCGCCAAGTAACCCAAGCGCGCCACCAGAGCCAGTCCAGTGCCAGAAGTGCCGCGCCTGCCACGCAAAGTGAAGGTCCATGTCGCCAAGTGCCACGCCTGCCACGCAAAGCGACGCTCGATGTCGCCAAGTGCCACGCCTGCCACGCAAACAGCGGTGTGTGGACAAGTTGCATGTGTAGACGTGTGTGAGGAAGTTGTGTGTGTGTGTGAGGAAGTTGTGTGAGGACAAGTTGTGCGTGGACAAGTTGTGTGTGGACAAGTTGTGTGAGCATGTGTGTGAGTAAGTTGTGTGTGGACAAGTTGTTTGAGCATGTGTGTGTGAGTAAGCTGTGTGTGAGCAAGTTGTGTGACGACAAGTTGTGTGTGGACAAGTTGTGTGTGAGTAAGTTGTGTGTGAGCAAGTTGTGTGAGGACAAGTTGTGTGGTTGTGTGTGCACAAGTTGTGTGTGGACAAGTTGTGTGTGAGCAAGTTGTGTGAGGACAAGTTGTGTGTGCACAAGTTGTGTGTGGACAAGTGTGTGGAACATGCACAGAACGAAGCCAGTTGCCGTGGACACGGTAACTGGCTTCGTGCCACAGTTCATGTAGTAGTTGCTTCTCCTCCGGGTTTTCTAAGGGCCCTGCTAGGACCATGGCATGCACCCAGCTATCGCTGCTGGGCCCGTGGCTGCAACTGCACGACGTCTACAACTACATATGTATGCATCTATGCCAACATGTTGCAGGCATGTGCAGTATGTGAATGCCAGTCCGTATGCATGCACAGCTGTGTATGCGTGCATGAACGTGCGTCGCTAGGCAGGTATGCATGCATGTATGCAAGCTTGCATGTGCTTGTGTCTGCAAGTATGTACATGTCTAGGTGCATACGCCTGCAGGCATGTTGGCAGATGCGGCTTTGTAGCTGTGCAATGTGCATGCATGTAGGGGTGTAGCTGTGGAGGAATGTAGGCCTGCAGGGACGTTCACGTGTGGGTATTTAATGAGAACAAAGACGGAATGACGGCATGTGGTACGTAGAAATGTCGGTTCCTAAGTATGTACACCTGTATGCATCTATGTATCCATGTATGTATGCAGGCCTGCATGAATGTTTCTAACACATACAGTAGGAATGTCTGCAAGTCTGCATGTATGCATGTAGGAAGGATGTATGCAAGTGCGTCTGATTGTCTGTGTGTGAGATGTATGCACATATGTATGCAGGCATGTATGCAGGCTTGGATGAATGTACGAATCAATCAATGTATGCAGGTATATATCAACGTAGCAATGTATTGATGCATGCATGTACGCCTCCATGTATGCATGAAGGTATATGCGTGTGTGTGTGTATGGACGAAGCAGTTCGTCCTCTCGATTGGAAAGCTGCAGGCTAATGGAGGGGAGCGGAGGGTTCGCAAATTTATGCCCAGGAGTGTTTGGAGGGACATCGCATTTTGGATCATCTTCTGAGTGTCGAGCTGGGAACAGTAGCAGCTGCTGCTTATCATGCCAATCCAGCATGCATGCGCAATCACGCAACCCTGTGACATTCTAGGACATGAGTAGCAATACATAGTGCTGCAATACACCAGATTGATAGTGGGAGGACAGAGCGCCGCAATCGAAGAGAGCAGTTGCTGAAGAGGAGAAATGAAAGTGTTATGGTGGAAGCATCGAACTTCTTCTGTGAAGATAGATGTTTTTTCAATGCTACAGGTCCAAACTCATAGCGCCTCAACCGAGAGAGGTTCAGTTGAGTCACTTTGCCTTGTGCAGGACCTCTCTGGTCAGCCGCCGGCGTTAGCATCTGAATGGAAGATATGGATCCGTAACTGGCAATATGCAACAAGACACAGCCACTATACGATATATATCTGTATATATATAATTATTATGTTTATGGTTCATGTTAGCTGTTCCCCATCATATTAAATATCCAATATCACCAATCTCCAGTGACATGCGCTGATTCCTTTTTTGGCTGCGGACCAGGGGGGAATCGAATAGGGGCGGGGGGCCCCTCCCCTAAGTGGAGATTCCTTACTCTCAGCTCTCAATTTCCGGGAAAGGGCCAGCCACCTCCCCCAGTACTAACCTAGTACTAAAGTACATAGAACTCAGGTAGCCTAGGCTACCTTTCGTGATCAAGATGTCCGTTCTCAGCTGCAATGTACAATGGTGTTGCACCGGTATCCCTGGCCTTATCCTTGTCAGCACCAACTTCCACCAAATGACGGACAACATCAAGATGGCCGTTCTGAGCTGCAATGAACAATGGTGTTGCACCGGTATCCCTGGCCTTATCTTTGTCAGCACCAACTTCCACCAAATGACGGACAACATCAAGATGGCCGTTCTGAGCTGCAATGTACAATGGTGTTGCACCGGTATCCGTGGCCTTTTCTTTGTCAGCACCAACTTCCACCAAATGACGGATAACATCAAGATGGCCGTTCTGAGCTGCAATGAACAATGGGTTTGTTGCCCCGATCCTGGGCCCTGTATTGCTGTGTCCAGCACCAACTTTCCACACGATATGACGGGATAACATCAGAGATGTCGGTTGAGCTGCGAGAACAATTGGGGGTTTGTTTGCACCCTTCGATTCTTGTGCTTGATCTTTGCGAGCACCAGAACGTTCCACCGAAATGACGGAGCACATCAAGGATGGGGGCCGTTAGAGTGCAATGAACAGATGGTGTTGCAGCCGTTGATTCCGTGTTTGTTGAATATCTTTGTCAGCACCAACTTCCACCAAATGACGGACAACATCAAGATGGCCGTTCTGAGCTGCAATGTACAATGGCGTTGCACCTTGATTCTGTGCTTGATCTTTGTCAGCACCAACTTCCACCAAATGACGGATAACATCAAGATGGCCGTTATGAGCTGCAATGAACAATGGTGTTGCACCTTGATTCTGTGCTTGATCTTTGTCAGCACCAACTTCCACCAAATGACGGACAACATCAAGATGGCCGTTCTCAGCTGCAATGTACAATGGTGTTGCACCGGTATCCCTGGCCTTATCTTTGTCAGCACCAACTTCCACCAAATGACGGATAACATCAAGATGGCCGGTCTCAGCTGCAATGTGCAATGGTGTTGCACCGGTATCCCTGGCCTTATCTTTGTCAGCACCAACTTCCACCAAATGACGGACAACATCAAGATGGTCGTTCTGAGCTGCAATGAACAATGGTGTTGCACCGTCATCCATGACCTTATCCTTGTCAGCACCAACTTCCACCAAATAACGGACAACATCAAGATGGCCGTTCTGAGCTGCAATGAACAATGGTGTTGCACCTTGATTCTGTGCTTGATCTTTGTCAGCACCAACTTCCACCAAATGACGGACAACATCAAGATGGCCGTTCTGAGCTCCAATGTACAATGGTGTTGCACCGGTATCCCTGGCCTTATCCTTGTCAGCACCAACTTCCACCAAATGACGGACAGCATCAAGATGGCCGTTCTGAGCTGCAATGTACAATGGTGTTTCACCGGTATCCCTGGCCTTTTCCTTGTCAGCACCAACGTCCACCAAATGACGGACAACATCAAGATGGCCGTTCTGAGCTGCAATGAACAATGGTGTTGCACCTTGATTCTGTGCTTGATCTTTGTCAGCACCAACTTCCACCAAATGACGGATAACATCAAGATGGCCGTTCTCAGCTGCAATGTACAATGGTGTTGCACCTCGATTCTGTGCTTGATCTGTGTCAGCGGCTGCCTCAAGCAAAAGCAGCATGCTTTCAACATGTCCTTCACTGGCAGCATAGTGCAATGGCGTGTTGCCATGTTCGTCTGTGACATTGGGATTGGAAGGTCTATTAAGGAACTTTTCCAGGGCGATCAAATCATTTTCCATAGATGCAGAGATCACTTGTTGGCTTCGTTGAGCATCAGCTGGATAAAAATCCAATACCACCATCTGAAGCTTCACTGGAGCGGAGCTAAAAACCTCATCATCCGGGATCTCAGAACCATCTTCGGAGAAGAGTCGTTGTTTGAATCTGATGACACCAATCTGAACTGCCAAGGCTTGTTTCACAGCCTTTGCAGTCTTTCCTTCGAATTCATCCGGGGCAAGGGCTGCAAGAGTCGCACCTGACAGAAAACACACCTCCATTGCGGCAGTGGTGGACATGCAAACAACCTGTAGTTAGACATGTTCAAATGTGAAAAGATATCTCAAGAAAGTTTTGACGAAGCAATGTACAATGTATATAGATCTATGTTTGTGGAATGTATTGCCATCAACGCACGTACCGTCGACAAAAAACATCAATGGCGTGGGCATTGTCCTTTCCCTGCAGCCAACATCAAATAGACATGACTCACGATTGTCTACGCAAATAGCCTGCACCCAAAAAAGGTGATCATGAACATGTGCAAAGTTGTGCTACCAAATTTGCCAAGCATTATCCCACCCCATGTTAGGCACCAAATCTACTTTCTACACAGAATTATCTATATTTTGATAAATTGGGATCGATATAAGCCCATGATACCACAATGGCAAGGATGAACATCCATGAGCAAGCAACTATTTCAATGTGAACGCAAGGGAACCTGAGTTCTGACCCATACTCAAATCACCGTTCAGTTGTCTGCCCCCTGTCTCGTATCTGGCTGCGTGTCTCTGGAGGACTGAGAAATATACCTGCCAAAGTCTAGTACTTTTATTCTGACGATTTACCCTCTGGTAAACTAACATAGCTATGGAAAATCACTATTTTTAATGGAAAAACCTTTATAAATAGCAATGTTCAATAGCTATGTTACAAATCACCAGAGGGTAACTTGGTCCCCATGTTAGCCATTCTTCGAATTGATCAGAAAACGAAATCCAACTACATCCATCTACATCCAGATGTCAATGCCACTTATGGGTGTCGATGGTGACCTCAAATCACCCAACCACGGGGTCATATCCCATTATGGCAGTGGGTCGAAATCTTAAACATCCCCAAAATGAACAGACCCATGCTGCGTGCCTGACAATATGGGTGTCCCTGCTGCGTCCAGAATGACCAATTGAATAGAGCGGATGATCAAACACGAGATCAAACATGAGATTTTGGAGCTCCGTAAAAATCACTTCCTCATTTCACCAAATGCTTGGTCCAACCGGCCTAGCCGATATGATTCAAACGAAAAATGTGGAATTTTGCCCCAATAAGCATTCATCGAAACCATGGGATGTTCATCACCTAAAATGTTTTTGAACCTGCCAGAGACAAGGTACCCTCTGGTAATTTAACATAGCTATTGAAAATGGCCATTTATAGTGAAATTTCCAATTAAACATGGTGATCTTCCATAGTTATGTTAGTTTACCAGAGGGTATTATCTGTGACTCACATCTTAGTCGAGTCTGAAACCCGCGATAAGTATCCGAGCACCCTCCAGTACTCAGACATAACTTAACTGAATATCCACACATCTATACAGGAAGGGGCTCCCTTGTTGGCTAACTTAGCTTATAACTAAGCCTAGGCTAACTAGAAGTTTTGGTGGATTCATGGCTGGACAATACTCCAACTTCAAGGTGACGGATCAACTGGGATGTCGATCAAAAAAATCTGCAGGAAATTTCCCCAGGGTTTTCCAAACGGGTCAAGTTGCCATTTTTCAATTTTCGGAACACATGGACCAACGACTTTCAAAATACCATATCGGAGTCAACAACTTCATGGATTTTGTTCATGGTACCTCTTTTTTCGCCCATTTTACTTGGCTATATCTTGCTGATTGGTGGTTTCAATCCCTCTGAAAAATATTAGTCAGTTGGGATGATTATTCCCATATATTATGGAAAAAATACTTGAGAGGGGGGGACGAAAGGTAGGTGGGGGCAAATACAGGAGGGACAGGAAGAGAGAGAAATGAAACGAGGAGAAGAATAACAAGAAGACTAAAATCACGGTCAGTATTACAAGAACTAATGCAAGATCGAGGTGCTGAGTTTGCTGACAAGATACATGCACGAGATAGGGCTAAAGTGCTTCAACCGATGGATGCTGGGTTGAGGCACTTTGTGTGTAGAGGTGTAATCCCTCAAGGATGCAACGCTCATGCTAAAGGAATGCGGCATGTGGTGGCGAGTATATAGAGTCGATGGGGATGAGCACGTAGACAGCTGCAAAGCAGCGAAAAATATACAGATATCCAATATCACCAATCTCCAATGACATGCGCTTTTTGGCTGCGGACCAGGGGGAATCGAATGGGGGGGGAGGCCCCCCCCCGGGGGGGGGGGCCCTAAGTGGAGATTCCTTACTTTCAGCTCTCAATTTCCGGGAAAGGGCCAACCACCTCCCCCAGTACTAAACTAGTACTAAAGTACATAGAACTCAGGTAGCCTAGGCTACCTTTCGTGATATGTTCCACATATTTCCACATATATATATATATATATAAATATATATAAATATATAATATATTATATATATAATTATAATATATTTGCAGAAGATGCAAAAGGATGCAAAAGGCTCTTTTCTACGGCTGTGCGAGTGACTCAAACGGATGCGTTCGCACCACTTTGACAATCTCTGCAGCAATCTTGGCGCCACCCAAGCTGCTGGGTTCAATAGGATTTGCAAAGTCCTCCACCTCTGCTGTGAATGAGTGAGAAAAAAAGGCGATCCAAGTCCAGCTTAAAAGCAGTGACATTAGTTGACATTAGATTGAAACATTCGTAAAGGATTGCAGCATGAGCACAACAACTCTGGAAAACTGCAATCCACAGCGTGACACGTGAAGCATGTGTTCTCCACCGGTCTCCATCTGCCCCCAGTGCCTTGTTCATGACCCTGCGCAGGTCGATGACAGGTGCTTTGAGGCGTGTGGCCACGCGTAGGACAGCGTCGGCCAAAACACTCAAAGCCATGTTCGCTACGCTCTGCTTCACAGTGACTACGTTCCAGGCAGCAAAGGCAGGGTTGTAACCTGGGTTAAGGGATGTTAAGGGAATGGTGGGTGTGGATTGATCAATGGATAGCCAACTAGCTCTGCATAGCTCTGCATAGCTCTGCTCTCAATGGCCAAATCAATGACTTCTAATGACTTCTGAGCAAACACCTCTTTTTCACCAGTACCTGTTCTTCGTGTTTAGAGGTACAAACGTGTCTTGAGCTCCTGCGTCTTTTCAAGACAGCTTCCAATGCCTGAAACTTCTGAATCAGCTGTTGACATTTTTGCTTTGCTTCAGGCATGGCCATCCAGTATCTGGGAGGATAAGAATCATTTGTGACAAAAACAGGTTGAAAAGCCTTGATGGGATACCTGCTAGTACGGGGATTATATCTAACGTATTCTAACGTAATATCTACTTAAAATGCTGCTCAAGGCTGGGTGCTGCTGCTTATATTATTCTGTTCTCCTACGCCACCTAATGCTTGATGCAGGCGTAGAGGTACGGATCAGTCAAGGAACGTCTCACCTGATGTCGCTTGTACATTTCAAAGCTCCCATGTCTGTTGTCAAGAAACACAAAAATACGCTTTCTGGGTTGTAGATCTACACAATATCTTCGTCCATTTCCAAACAGATCCCCATTGCAGCTCTTCGACATCCCACCATTATCACACTCTGTTCCACTGTTACTCAATCTCGCCAAGAAACAAGAACAAACCACCAACTGCTTATCTCCAATGCAATTCTTCAAATGAGTCCTTAGCGCTTAGCAGGACTCATGACAGAGACTTTGCTTAACAAAGATGGCCAATTCCTGGAACACTGATTGTGACGTGACACACCAGGTGCAACATGGTGCAACCTGGGCTAGCCACATTTCTGCCGTAAATTCCGCTTCAAATTCCGCAGCAAAGTTGTGCAGTCGATCCAAGGCCTGGGTGAAGTGTTCTCCCAACTGAAGCAGTTCACGTGGTGGATCCAACTGGCAGTCCGATATTTTTTTTGAATGTCAGAACAAGTATTTAGGTATCATCATCATCACCATCATCATCACCAATATCATTAGGAATCATGTTCAATTGATTTCATCAGGTTTCTTTTGATCATCGACAATCTCTGTAGGCTCCCCTCATCTTCGCCTCTTCGCAGTCGGTCACCGGTCCACCCAGGACGGTAGTGCTGGCACCGGTAGCATTGTTGCCCCCCACGGAGACGACCACATGACTTGCATCGTGCGGAATTTGTTTCAACTGCTCTCTGATGGCGCCAATCCTAAGGACGTTTACACACCGACATCACCTTGGTATACCTTGGTATCACAATTTATCACAATTTATCACATATTCAGTCAAAGAAACAGCAACAAAAACAACAGCAATATCAAGCTCCAATGCCACCAGCAACAGCACTCGCATCCACAACCACAAGAACGATGACCTTATATACAATATATGACACAATAATACCTAGTCTTCCATTTGTGAGCTCGATAACAAACATATAATATATCATATCATATATTGACATTGACATACCACGATCACGTCAATTGTGACCATGCCAACGGAATGGGATCATGGTTCAGTTAAGGAATGTTAATGAATACTTCCTGTCCTGGCAGGGATCATTACCATGGCATACCATGACCATGATCATGGTCGATATCCCTATGGCCATCATCATTATCTTGTTGTTCCAGTCTCGACGCAAGAAGTGATCTTCCCATTGCCGGTGTCGTTCTCTGTGGCACGCAATAATATCAATAATATCAAACATGACATATTGCTTGTAAAAGTCACAAGCCCTTGCAACTACAGCTTCTGTTGAATTCTGGCCTAGTTGCATCTTGGTGGAGTCTGTGCTACATCTGAACGGATCTGAATGGCCAGGATTGCTGTTGATACCAGGTCATGCCAAGTATCAGAGCTCCGTCTCGAGCACACAGTGTGACGTTCGGCTCCAACTGCTGCACCTGTCGATGGCTCCATCCAATCTTGATCCATCACTGATCCATCAATAACTATTGCATCAATATATATATATATACAATTATATACATATATATATATAATATATCAATACCCATCCTGTCTTCAAGGCTCTTAGCATGACTCAGTGACTGGACAACCCCACCTGATCAAAGACCGAAGGCTCACCGCGGGGAACCCAGCGCCCGTTGTCAATGGTGGAATCTCCCAGCAACGCAATGTGCGTCTTCGCTGACCGAGTTCCGGACTGCTGGTTTCCCATGCGACACACGCGGCACCGGCACAGTTTTCTGGGCCACAACTGTCTGCGTGTCATTGATGCAGGTTCTAAGGATTGCTACAGTGTTGTGAACCAATCAACAATGGCCAATCAGCCACCAAGGCGAGCGAAAACCAAGGCGAGCGAAAGGTCCCAAATCAAAGTGAGAGAATTTGCTCATTGAATCTGGTGAGATCGTCTAATATTCATGTGATTCTGGTTCTATAGCCTCTTCCTTTAAGGGATGGTTGCCTTAGAAACTGTGACTAGCTTCACTAACAAGTTGCAGTTGTATCTACGGACAAGAAAGTTAGATCTATAATATATATATACCCATAGGATCCATGTATGCTATATATGGTAACATGGATCCCATCAATATACCCCAGTCATGTTAGCATTAATATACCAGCACCAGCCGGATCCGTCATGGGATATATCCGAGCCAGCACTGAATACTCTCCCATGAAGAATGGTTAATATATGTTCAGATTATATATTTCATTATATGTGTAATCTGAACATATATATGGCAATATCACAAATATGTTCAGATTATATGGTTGTGAGTCAAAATTGTGTATGGAACGTTCCGCGGTGTTCCGGACGTATGGAACGAAGGGGCTTCGTAACTGTTCTTGTTCCGGACCTTTGGAGTGTGATGAAATATAAGCTATACATATATATGTATATAAATATATATATATATACCTATTGTAAATATGTATGCAATATACATCTCAGGGATATGCTTGTTGAAGCTACTCTCGCTGGCTGCCGCTCATTTTCACTTCTCATCTGCACATATCTGCACGACATGTACACCTGTTCAACGCAGGTTTGCCTTGCATGGCTAGTTCTCGTGCAATAGCTAGGACACAACCGGTAGCCAGCGTCATCCACAGGCTACCATGTGAAGCTGTCCACTCAGCTTCAGACCTCTATGTGAGAACCTGCCATTTGTTCACCCGAGAGTGGGTCAGGGGTGGTACAGGGGTGGTCCGGGTCTGGAACGGGTATGGAACGGTATGGAACGGGGTCTGGAACGAAACGGCCCACTCCAGCACAGCTGCCACCACGCAGCGCATCTTTATCAACCACGCAGCGCAACTTTATCAAAATTGGCAGATTGGAGCGAGAGTAGACTGCCAGCTGGCTGGCAGCTGGCGAGCGCATCTATACCAGACTCTACCATCAAACATCACAGCCGTGCCGCAGCAGGCAGCAACTGTAAGTGGTGCAGGCGGAAACCTGCCACAGGTTGAGAAGGAGGGAGGGTTACAAGCAATCCATTCTTAGACTGCCAGCTGGCAACAGCCAAGCGCATCCCTACCATCACACAACAAAGTAGGTAGCAGTTATAAGTGCTGCAGGCACAGACTTCCCAACACAATCACAGGGCTTGGGCTGTATGTGCGCAAAAATGTAAAATCAAATTGCACATGTTCATATATATATATATATAAAATACAATTATAAGTTAATTATATATCTATTGCATATATATATATAAATATATATATAATTATATATACATAAAATCATATATATATATATACAATTATATCATATATATACACATAATTATAATATATATATATTATAACGTATGGATCAGAGGTATGGAACAGAGGTATGGAACGGATCCTTCAAGGAGGTATGGAACGGGGGTATGGAACGGGGGTATGGAACGGGTGTGGTCCCGGAGCTTGTACCGGACCTCCTATTTTGACTTGCACCCATATATGTGTATTATAATGTATATTTGTGATATTGCCATGCTCTAGATCCACACTACAGTATGCAAACTGTCGCAAGCACCGCATTCCGTTTTCAAATTGTGTCTGAAGCTATGGAGACCTGACTTGGGAATCCTTGCAAATATTCCATGACACCTGGCACCTGGAGTCCCCCTCCCCTTGGCTGGAGCCAAAGTCAATATCCAGCCTCTGCGGCTCTGTAGTGCAGGTTCCAAAATTCAATGTAAAAGCAAGCTGAGCAAAATAAAGAGACCTGAGCCGTAGGAAATCCGGTTTGATGTCAATAAATAACGCAACAAGTATCAACAAAAATCAAAACATTTTTGGATGATTCGGCGAGTTGAAATAGATCATGAGAACATGGTTTGAGAATTTGAACTGACAGCCAAGGGAGAAGGCTGCGTCTGCAAAGCCATAGGGAACATAGTTTTGCCAACTGAAAGCGATCGAACACACTTCCATACCTTTCATATCTTCCACAATAGTTTTCATTTGTAATTTCCTGGTTTCGAGAGCCGGTTCCAAAATGGCACGCCTACATCTCTCATTACATGTCATCATAATTCATAATATTCATACAATAACAGTTATACAGTCTTCCAGGTACCATCACCCAGATGCGCCCAAGAACCTTGATTATTCGCTCATTTGGGATCACGTCATTTCTAAAGTTATGAAAATTATGAAAAGAAAAGCATTCAACTCATTATCAAAAAAAAATCGATTATTAAACCGTGTCCACTATTTCCAAGGCTGCGGATCAGGTAATCTATCGCGTTTAATCTTGCTAACGACATCTAACGACCGTGTCCCATGTCCTGTATCACAGCAGCTGTCTGGGCCGAGCGACATAGCATGTGCTCCAACCGCGACAACATCGTCGGACACAGCAAATTCTGTCGCCACACAACCTGCTATGAGTATGTGGTCACAAATTTCAAGATGAGCAAAACTTTGAGTCGAGCAACACATAAAGGGCAGGACATCCTACGAGCAAAACGGTGGCTTCAGCCATCAATCTGCGCACAAGAGACATTATCTGAGCAAGTTTCTTGGAACAAACCACACATGACAGAATTCCACCTCGTCATCCTCTGACCCAACATCTGTATGTATACAATATTATATATATATTATAGTTGTATCATGTTATATTGCAACTTTTTTAAAATAGGAATAATCCCATTTGTTTAAAAAGTCAAGATGTTTACAGATGTTATATAAACGTATCATAACGTATCTTAAAGTATTAAAGTATGAGGCCACGTCCCTCAAGATTCATCAAGATTCAGCTTCCAGGGTGAGGATCATTATTATCAATTCAATTCCTGGCTGTTCATCGGTGCACCCGCCTGGATGTCTCAGCTGGCTGCTCTTCCTGCAGAAATGGCGGATCCGAATCACTTGCTGCCTTGTCCCATCATGTCGCTTCAAGAAAGTGAGTAAGGGATCTAATCTAATGCAGGCTCTAGCATAGGAATGGCGCACCCACCATCTGGGGTAATTTGGTATCAACAAGTTGCAGAACCAAAGCAAAGCCTCCAACTGCAAAGCCCCAGGAAACGGAGATACGGAAGGTACAGCTATCATGTTCAACCTGTCCGTTGTCCCACGATCTAGGCATACACTTAACTTATTGGCCTTACATCTTCCAACTTAGGCGGGACGAGGACAAACAGACCTGGATCCTCAAACATAGGGAAACACATGGATATTCTAATTAATTACTATTACAGTCTGATTAAAAACACTCATCCATGTTGGGCATATACCTATTCCCGCAAAAACTATGTGATTAAAGTGTTAGCGATGGTCGTCTTGACACCAAGTGATCCTTGTCTCAGAAGTGGAACTTTGGGACATTTTGGGACTCATTTTGGGACTGATCTCCCCATGCGCCTCAAGGAAAGGCACTCTGGCAGACATGGGCGCAGCCAATGTGGCAATAGCAAAACCTCAAAATTTATCAAAATCTGTAGATTACTGCAGTGTTCAGCAAAAGGCCTTTTGAATTTCACTGATTTGCAGTTTCATTCGGAACTCGTAGGTTCTCAGTCACACAACCAAAATTGCGTGTTACCAAAATTGCTTGTTAGTATAGTTTGTATCTGCGATCGTCTCTTTGGTGATGCTAATGCTACTCTGACGTCTACAAGACTCACCCAAAGATGCCCAAAGTCTCTTGGGCGAACTTGTCCAGTATAGCTCTGCAGCTCTGCATTAGTTTTGAACAAGCTGCAACCATATTTTGTCGGTAGCTAAGTTCGCGAAGCGGTTCACACCAGCTTGAGCCATGTCCAACCATGTGTGTTACAAGCACGAAAGGTGGACTGAAAGCAGCAGAGCCAAGAACTGCCCAATGTCGGCAAACACTCATCGACTATTTTGCATGAAACCATATGAAACCCATAAACTATCATAAACTCAGATTATATACTTCCAATGATGCAACTTCATTTGTCACAGCTGATTTCCCAGCCCTGCAACTGCAAACCTTGGCAGCAGTGAGAGCCAGCTCCTGATGACCATCAGGTTTAGCCAACAACCAGCACCAGTCAGCACCTAGCAAAACACACATCCTCATCCTTCAGCTGCATGGAATAGAGCAGTTCCTTTGGTTGGCTTGCTTACTTCCAATTTGCTACATGGAGTGCTTCTCTTCCAGTCCCTGGTTTGTGGACCGGGGAAAAATGCTTGTACTCCAACTGACCTCGACTGCTTCATAGCTCATCGGCAATCCAATTGGTCCTCTTTGTGACCCAGTTGCCGCATGCACACAGTAATCCACAGAGTAAGCACCTGCGAACAGTCATTGAATTGAAAACTGGATAAGAAATCGGAATTCAATCTGGAGAAAGAATGAGAAATCATTTGAAACTCGGAAGCACTACACTTCGCAGGGCCCCAGGGGCAACAAACATGGAACGTGCCTGTTTGAAGTCAATGTAAAGCCACCAAATCCATGTTTGCTTTTTTTTAACGCGGATAGAGTTGAAACCAGTGTTGACCCATGTATAATAATAACATATACCCAAAGTCTCACAACAAACCAACGCAGGTCCATGTGATAGCAACTATCTAGAACATAATAATACAGTGGTCAAGCCTTTCACTTTCTCAAATACGGTACAACCATACGAGTGCAGTAATCATTGACTCTCATTTCAATATCCCGTGACTATCTCGTCTGATTCGACCCTGCGATCTGTTTGGAGGGTGCTCTCTCAAAGGAATGATCTTCGCACTGCAAAACATATATTGACATCTACTCGAAACGAGAGAGAAAGTCTAGCAGGCTATCGGCATGTCCACCCGCACCAACATGATGTGCAAAGTCAAGTGACGGGAGCTCTGTTGATACTCACCTAGGAGAGAGGCAAATGATTTCATTTGATCTATTAAAGTTGGGTCTCATGACTCGTGACCCTATGATTTTGTGATCTTTGCGTGGCATGGTTTGTGCTGTCACTCGCCAAGGCTGTTCACCAAGGGCATTTTCCCAAAGGGTCAAATTGAATCACCAATCCAAGGCAGCCGACTACCGTGGATCCGGCTTCTTGCCTGGTGGATCAGCCGGAAACAGGTACATGTGCCACGTTGTGCCTGTATAACACAGCATTCACACGGCAAAAGTCGACGATTTTGACATGGTTGTGAATGCTCGTACGGTGGAATCACGTAGAATCCACTTAGATCACTTAGTCAAATGTGTGGCACCATCAGAATGTTCTCACAGGTTTACAACTGGATAGAAAGAAATGCATCAGCAAATGCGGTGTGCTGAAAATAACTGCAGAACCAATCCTTGAGAATCTGGCAAAATAATATAATATATATTAATATATTATATATATATATTATAGTGAAATAGTGCAAGGCTTGCTTGGTCAAAGCCTGGATCCAAACATATAACTGTAGATGCACTACTAGTAGTCTGACACATCCAAACATCAGTCCCTGATTACATGTCATCCCATCGAATTCCTGCCACCCTTCATATGCTCCCATTGCCTTGCTTTGGAGCTTTGGCTGCCACTTGCCTGGAATGCCAAGCAATGTGGCTGCAAACAATGGCCACGCTGTTGTTGCATCTGCTGCCCCTTTGATGGTCAAAGTCAAAACAATGTTCTTAGCAAGTGCTTGAATATTATTGACCGATATACTTCTATCGGAATTATCGGAGGAGGTTACGACAAGAAAACATGCACAACAAGGAACAAGTTAATGAGCGCTCATGGACTGCAAACTTGTCGTTCTGAGACGTCTGAGAAATAAGTTTGTTTCAACATCTTCTCACAGCATCTCACAGCCTACAAATTAAATCAACATGTGAAGGTCAGCGAAGCTCAGCTGCTCTTGGCGGCAAAGCTTTGCTATGCTTTGCCCACGCGGCTGCCTGACTCTTGGTTTTGGTGATGCTCTTCGTGACCCTGCTGGGCTTCTTCATGACCTGCCCAGAAACGTTCTAATTGTTTCCAGATCCAGTTACAATGTGTTTCCGGTCCAAGATGCTTCAAGGGGCCACAGGCTGTACAAATAGATAACATGTATTAATATGTCATGTCCTCTTATGTTGCATAGGAATATCATCACAATTAACCATATACAGCTCGTAGATGTACACGACCAGTGCACAACATCAATGACTTGTGGGCAACTTGGTCTGTCGCTTGCAAATTCATGAGGGCATTTTGGAAAGCGGCCATTCGATTGAGGAACTTCTGGCCCCAACATGCCCCAACTGCATTGCCCTGCTCAAGCCATCTTGCCTGGCTTTTGACACCCATTTTTCTGCCCAGGAAAAGCACCTGGCGCAGGACACATTCTTTGAGGCCTGCAACATCTCCAAGGCTGACGTCTTTGATATATTATATTGTATATATAATAGTATATACATATTTGACAACTCGACTGAACCAGGCTTGCCTTTATCTATAGTCTGTTTCCTGTCTTCTGTCACAAAGCTGCCTCCGCCTCTCTTCCAGGCCCAAAGAATGGCTGAATGAGCAGCTGAACCGATATGTTGCGGAACGTCCACCAAATTGAATCGATTTGTCACGTGTTTGACGGCACCTGCAGGGTCATGTTATAGATTATTTCTGTGGCTACCGACATTTACAGTTGTGCGTTCACGTCATACCATCTGAGCTCCTAGACTTCCGAAAGTCGATCCACAGCTGCTGCCTGGCATGGGAATCTAAACGCAGCCAGTTTTTTTTGATGCTCTGTCACCAAACCAGCCAGCTCGTGGTTGAAGAAACACAGGGAAACATCTTCAAAACCACAGCTCAAGCTGGACAGTACTTCCTGAATCTACTGAACTGCTGCAATACCAATCACAAAAAACACACATTTCAATTTCAATACATTTCAAGCAACTGTAACCAGCAGCATGCTGAGACTGGCTGAAGCTTCTCATATTGTCCCCCTGCTTCCGCGCCTCTGGTACCGGGTCTGGGTCATCTGCAAAGTCGTCCTCTTCCTCGTCCGCCAAATCAGGCCAGGTACCGCCAAAAGAACTCGAGGTCGGTCGACTGGCCAGAAATAAATAAACAAGACCGTTGTCTTATGGTGTCGGTGTCACGGTCATTTCGCGTCCGTGACAAGATGGAGTTCCCGAAGTGACAAGTAACATGCCATTGGAATATGATTGGGAGGGGCAACCCCACTTTTGAGCACGACACGTATACATATTTGATTTATGTACCAAACATGTATTGCAACACATGTCAAATATATATATATATATGTCTAAATATGTCTAAATCAGCAAGATTCATTTTTTTTTTTGGCACCCTTTGCAGATCTTTGCAATGTATCCCATGAATCCCATGTCTCCCCACCACCTCTCCGTGTCAGGCGTCCCTGTCGAGGGTGTGAAGCTGCGCCGGGGTCGTGGACGTCTGGCCCGTGGCCGCCGCGGGGCAGCAGCCCAGGCCTGAGAATGGTACAATTTATGGCTCAGCTATGCTCAGCTATGGTTCTCAACTTGGCAAAGAAGGAAACAACAAGACAATATCGAATCGTAATTCAGCAGCGACAACAATGACTCGACCTCCACCATGGGATACCATGGGTCACCGTCTACCATCCCTCAATCTCCTTGGCGTCCACACCCAACGTGCTGCCTCCGGCGCCTCGACCTCCACTTCCTCAGCTCCGTTGGGCGACGGAGGTGTGCCTCAGGGTCAAGCAGCCGCATTTTTGTTGGATGAGGGCTCAGTGCTCATAGTGACCTCATAGTGGATCAATAGTGGATCAGCAGTTGGAGATTGCAATCCTGAGAAGTATCATTCGCATCCAGCTATTTTGCCAGCTAAATCCTTTTGTTTTTGGAGTCACAAAAGCCAAGAGATGCCAAGAGACCTGGATCCAGCCCCGGCGAGGGCTGCGAACCCATGTCATGGCATGGCAGCCAGGCACTGATTTTCTTGATGAGATCTGTGTCATTGAACTGATATAGTTGTGAGCTTTAGCATATTCTGATGATACTTCCGCTGTTGATTGCGTGTTTCAAACCGTTTCTGGTTTCCTTGGCACGCAAGCTGTGGCAGGGGTGCAAGTGGTACCATTGTGATTCTTAGCATGCTGGGCCAGTTACTGGGCACTTTTTTCAGTTATCTCATTTACTTGTTCTTCTGATTATATTATGATTATATACATATTATTTGCTCTCAACTCTGGGCTTTGTAGAACACAAAGTCTTGCCTTCCATTAGTCATCCTTGATCACTCTGATTGACGAAAATTATCCTCCAACCGTGACCCCAGCATCTCGCACCACATGGAAAGTTTTGTGCATGTTCCTGTGGACAGCATCTCTGAACAAAAGCTGGGTTGCTTCAGTGTCAGCCATCGTGTACTCTGGAATTGTGTGAACTAAACACGTGCTTGAACAAATCCGAAGGAAAACGCAAGCGAGGCGTGGCAAGCGAGTGGACACATGTGGTGTAGGGTTAATTTAATTTCTAGAGAGTAGTACACAACAAGCAGTCCACTCAACACTCACATATATGCCAAAGAAAGCCTGGTCCTGCATACAGAAGCCTGCAACAAAGACGCGGGGGGCGCACTTTCTCGTAGAGGCTGGAACGTATTGTGAAGCCGATGAACAACGGAACAGCAATCCTCAGGTGATCCAGCGACAACTAAGCACCGGAAACAGCTGTTTGCCCTCCGAACGCAGAAAAAGCATGAATAAACTTGACAGTATCATTGGCCAAGCTTCGCATACATGTAGCGCAACGCTTCCTGGCATGTCATTGCATGTTGTTTCTCCATGGATACAGTCCTTGCATGCATTCATGGCCGTGCCATGCCGTGCCTAAATTTAGCCTTGAAATGTCTTGACATTGAAAAATATGCTTAATGTGGTCCCTGACTTGTCTTGGGGTAAGTGCTTGACAAATGCGCTAACAAAATTCAACAAGATTCATGGATCTTATTGTTTGATTGCACATGATTCTGTTCCAGATGGGACCATCTGTTTGAAGCGCAGGCATAAATCTTCAAGTTACTTCTGACATTGGGCACTTTCTTTATCTACAAGGAAGGGATCAGACTTGGAACAACGATGACGCCCATGCAAAATGTCGTTGAACAGTAGCTTGACGGACACATTTGCCCGGGTGCACCTCGTCGTACTTGTCTGTGCCTGCCTGCACCGCCAGAAACTGGAGATTTCTTCAAAACCAGTATCAATTATTATATAATAATATTGTACAATCCAAATTGATTTGGAAATTAATATCAGGAAGACTTTCATCAATAGATCGAACTCAAATGTCACCGATCGCCGACTATTTGACTACAATTTAATTAATGTGTGACATGGGTGATCTGTGACTGTTGACTAACATGCCTTATCCCCAAGTTGACTCATTCATAACATGCCCTTAATGGTAGACCAGCACTGTAGATGATATCTGAAGAAGTCAATTGTGCGTAGTCTACCGTAGCAAAAGCTGCACAGCTGGACTCTGCCTCTTCGTAACCTTTCTGGCCACCAAAGCTGATGAAGGGAAATTCTTTTACCACTTCGATCTGGCACAAGCAGTGGAAGTGGGGCCCATGGTCCCTTCAAACATGTTTCTTTTGCATGACTCTAATGTGTCGTCAATTATATACTAGCAGCACTAGCAACGAATAACCAGTATATTTTTGTTAAACCCACATTGTTCTCCTACTGGGTTTCAGGTCTAAAGTCCCCATAGCCTTGCCAACCTGGATCACCTGCAGCTGCCTCTCTGCTCGGATAACTTCAATGATCTTCAATTTAATGAGTATTGCAGGTCAAACTTGGCAAATGTCTGGCGCCTTAATAGCTTTGCGCAGCTTCCAGAAGGCCAAACCCGTATCAAGCACAATCTGCAACACAGCGCAAGTGTGAGTGGCATATCCCCATGCTGATTGGAGAATAGAGCAGGGACAATTTGAGATCGACCAGGATGCACAAGAAGTGCATGCTATAAAGATCACCTGAATCGGCATGTTCCACTCACTAATCACTAATCGGTGAAAGCCTCGAAGAGGAGTAGCCGTGAGGTCTCCTTGGAAATGTTGACTGCTTTTAGACTTGCTGGCTGTTGATGGGATTCTGCACACAGAGTATATATAAAGCATGTGGATGTATGTGGAACACAACCAAAAAGACCAAGCTGTGTGTGGCACAACGGGTTGTGGCTCCGCATGAGCCGTGGAAAGAACACATTTTCATGGGGATCCACACATAAAGGCTCAAAATTGCACAAGCAATGCAATGCACAGGCAGAAACAGGCCGCGACATCCACATCCTTCGAATCTGAGTGTCCAGACTCGACTATTGAGCAAGTACACTGCAGTGATAAGCTGCATCCTTAGTAACCCTTAGTAGCTGGCAACTTCCTGTTGAAGACCAACTCCCAAGTCAAGTTGCTTCAAGTGAACAAAGGAAAACACACATCCCTGTTGTTACATATTATTCATTTCATACGCATTGTAATTGATGATTGCAAATCATTCATGTCAATGACTTACAAAATCCATGTAAAATCATGCTTCCCTTGACTCGACTTCCTTGCTTAGTAGCAGAAGCATGCAAAAAATACAATTTCCAATTAGAACCTCACAGACTCCCAGAACATTTGCAGTCTACTGCACCATCAAGTGCTATCGAAATCAAACACTTACAACACTGGCGTAGTGCCATTTTCCCCATAAAAATGCATGCATACATCATCATATATCTAACTGATGTGCCTTAGGAGGAGAACCCTTCCTGCGGACCTGTCAGGAGGCCAGACACAAACGATACCATCATGCTGCGTGCAGATAGGCCCTGCGCCAGCACAAGTGGATCACAGTCTGTGACACAAGTCGAATCATTCTACATACCTTCACAAACTTGTGGACATGGTACGAGTATGCAGTGTCAAAGTGCAAGCAAAATGGTGCAGTCGAAGTACCTAATACAACGTGCCAATGCCTTCCCTGCATGAACCCCTCGCAATTTCTCAGGAGCTCACTAGCTTTCAATCGCGCAAAGGCAAGTAGTTGGTACCTGCCTGGTAGTTCTCCCAATCTTGCATCAAGCTCTGACTGGCGGTACTTGTAACAAGCAGGTCTTTGAAGCAAAGGTTTTCTGGGCTTGAGAGGAGTTTCTGGGACAACACCTTCAGAGACTTCCAGTTTTGCTTCCCTGACTTTGCTGACTTGCGTGCTACGATGGTTGCACCTTTGTCCAGAAACTGATGCAAGGAGGTCATATGCGCAGAAGATAAAGACGAATGGCACATAATCAGGAGCGCTTGCAAATAGTCAACTGCAAGTTTGTAGTCCATGTCCCCCTTGCGCTCTTGCATCAGTTCATCAATGATGCTGACTGCATTTTGAGGCTGTCCGGACAAAAGGTGCACTTTTGCATATGCGGTGTACACAAGGAAATTTGGTTCAACTTGAGAGGGGTGAACAAGTGCCTCCCAAAGTGCATCCGCTCGCTTTGGGTCAACTCGTGCTGCTGTAGCCTCCATTAACGTTCCCAGCACAACCGCATTCAGATCAAGGTTTCGCTGCAAGCAAAGCTTGAGTGTAGCATCAACCTCAGTGTGCCTTCCTTGCATCTCATAGACAAACATTCTGGCTGTGTAGGTAACCATGCTTTTTTCAAATGGTTGCCCCTCTGACCAGGTCCATAACTCATCTGCCCAAGTGAATGCCTCACTGCTACCAGCTCTAGCACATACTTGAAAAGCACTACTCAATGCACAGTTGAAATCAGCAGCATTTGATGGCACTGGATGGCCCCAAATTTCCCTTGCCACACGAAACGCCTTCGCTTTTCTGATATTCATTTGTGACGCAGTGCATTTCCTGCATTTTAGGCAAGAAGCTAAGGCATGATTGAAAATGTTGTGCTCGATGCAATGCAGGACTATACCATGTTGCTCTTGCAACTTTCGAATTTTAATCAATGCGTTCCACCATAGGCCCTGACCACATCGCTGTAGAGCAGCGCCTACCACACTTGCATCAACCTTGCCATCCTGTAGTGCGTTGTGGAATAGTTTAAGCAACTGCCTTGAACTTCTAGATTTTTTAAGCTGCATCCTCATCTTGGCCGTCTTTTCTCCCCGCCCAAGGGTCTGGTGCTTGTCTTTGTCGGTGGGGGTAAGCAAAAAGAATAAATCCTTGGATCTCCGCCCTGTAGGCGAAGCAAATTCAGCCCGTGATCGCTGCAGCATGCGATTCTGCTCAGACAGAGGTACTTCACTTGGCCTGGAGTGGCTTCGAAGCACTATCCTGGTCATGCTGGCAACAAGGAGCCAAGGCTTTATGAGCGTCTTGGCCAACTCTGGAATATCTGAACGAACACTGAACATCGTGTCCCTTGATCTGTACAACATGTGGCCTGGATGCGGCCTTGGCATAGTGGGGGGTGTCATTGCCCACATTCTTCTTTTCAAGGTGAGCAAGTCCACCGTGTATACACGTAGTACAAGCACGAAATTCACCAATAGAACTCTCTTTGGGCAAAAACAAAGCGGCAGCCTTGTGAATTTGTGTTGAGCTCCCCCATGCTGTAACGTGTAGTGAAGCTTAGTAAGCTCTCAGTGCAAAGATGTGAACATTGTGGTGGTCACTGTTACAGGGTAGGGTGATATCTGAATGTGTGCTGGAGCATGTCATACGCGGCCTGGGTGGACCGAAGCAAAGGAAAATTCATGAAAATTCGGATCCCAGGCAAAATTTGATGTAGAAACATGTAAAAACCTTGGTTGACTATCATTGTTGCTCTGCAACTGCTGATCTGTTTTTGTTTTCTTTTGTATTGTTGACGTAGAACCTGCAGTCCAATTGAACATTGAAACAAGAGGTTACAATAGAACATGCTCTTGTCTGCTTGATTGCTTCAATATCCGCTCACCACGCATTTCTCCCTGTCATGTGATATCATTGGCAATTACCGCAAAGGAACGATACTTCCTTGGACATTGGATTATATAATACCTTGACGTCATATCAAACCACATCGGAACGCTGAAACAAACGTGAAGAAAGCATAATGCTGGGAATTTTCCACCATTGTTTCTCACCATTGGGTACTTTTTACCTGGGCAATGCTGGTGCTGGTGCTGCCTTCATCGACTCGTTTTGCCGCCAGAACTGGATGTCATTCTTGAAGGCCAGCATGGAGAAGACCTGCGAAGTCTGGGCTGTCGTGGAAAGAATTGGCTGCAAACAAACATGGATATCCTTGGATATTTACTATATATTACATAATATTGAACACTATCCAAGTATGTATCATATATTTAATACTATCAAAGCTAATATATGATACATATTGATACATACTTGCAATAATTGCAATAGTGACCTAATGACATCATGCTAAAACAAAATGATAAGAACAACGGATGACCACACAAATGTTACATTCTTAAATGCTCAGGAATGGTTTGTATTTTGCGTTTGTTTCATGAAGGAAGGAATCAGCTCACATGTCTTCCGAAAACACAACTCCATCTACTTGTCACCCCATTCCCATTTTGACAACAGCATAGGCTGCCGTCGCTGCTGACTTTTTGCTACTACACTGGCTTTCCTTCAACCCAGTCCTTGGTGGGAAGCCGTCAGTGCCACTGATCACAGAACTTGACAGCATGCACATTTGGACAGAAGATAGAATGATATAGAAATATAGACATGATTCAGTCGCTCAATTTTCCATGTCCTGTGCTCTTAGAAACAAGTGTTTGACCACCTCAAACATGAAACACCCTAGTTACCAAATATCAAACAGTTTCAAAAGAACTGGAAGTAAGATGAAGTATGGGCAAATATGCGTTCACAAGTACTCCTCCATTATGTTTCCTTCAGATCTTGCAAAACGCTGGAACTGGTCAACTTGCAATTCAAGTCAACTCCAAGTTGCAGAGAGGACAGCAGTCTTGATCGGCGCGCGATTGACAGCTTGTGCCTATCATCAAATTATATTGGACCCGAAAAACTCATAAAAACTCAGTGTAAATGCCAAGTGATTTGTGAGATTTACAGGAAAGGGTCCATGTGCTGACTTCGCACACTTAGCGAGGCCATGTGCTGACTTCGCACACTTAGGCAAGAAGTGAAAGTTCATTTTCATTGTTTCAAATACTTGTCAGGGTGATGCAGGCCATTCTGCTGGACATGGGGTCATGTTGGCCACACAAATAATATGATGGACCATTTTCAAACTCTTCTTCTGAGCAGGCCGTCAGCAAAAGCAAGCATGCAACATCACAACACGGCTCAGGCTGATCGATGGCTGTAAGAATATAAATCAAAGATCAAGAATAGATAGAATACGCATCGATCATCAAACTGTCCTACGATACTATATGGTCGAAGGAAGTTTAGAAGTCAAATTTCCGACAATATGGACACATGAAAAGCAGAGATGGGAAAAGTCAGAGAGAAGAGAAGAGTTGAAGAGAGAAGATCAGAGAAGAGAAAGAGTCAGAAGAAAGAAGATGCAGACGCGCGAAAAGGTAGGAAAGTCGCGAAACACTGTGTTTTTCAAATGATTTGTGGCTCCAGAGGGTCGAAAAGTAGGCTCGCTAAAGCGGCGGGTGCGGGGCCATCTGGCCAGATGAGAGATGAAAATTGCACGCCGTTGTGGCGCGAAGCGCATTTCCAAGTCAAAATGTACAAAACACACCAGGTTGGGACCACTTTTGGAAGTTGAGATGTTGAAAAAGTGCACGCCGTTGTGGCGCGAAGCACATTTCGAAGTCAAAAGTGCAAAAACTGACGGGTACAGAGCACTTTTGGACGTTCAGATGTGCTTTCGCGTGGCAGGCGCAAGGGATTGTGCACCTTCTCAAACGTGAGCAAAGCGTGAGGGTTTTGTAGCATTTCCAAAAACGATGGCAGGCGTGGGGCATTTGAAGAGGATCTGCAAAGATGCATTCTCCGTGGCAGGCGCAGTACAAGAGACATGTTCATCAGAGATGTTGGAGGTCAGGGCGCTGATTTCCTGAGAGGGGTTGCACTTTGGAGCATCAGATCTGTAGGTTTGCTAAGATGATTTTGCGTGACAGGTGCAGCACTTCGTATGACCTGGCATCAATTTTTCGTGGCAGGCGCAGTACTTTAGACAGGTGGAGTGGAAAAATCGCAAAACGCAAAGGTACGAGGCTGTCAGCTCTGCACTCAACTTTCCATTTTTGAAGGAAGTCTCGCAGAATTCATGTGTTTTTGACGTCGTCGAATTCAAAAATTGAAGAAGTCTCGCAGAATTGCTTCGTTTTGGATGTTGTCCAGTTCAAAAATGAAGAAGTGT